GCCTCTTAGCTCATTCCATGGGCCTGTTGCATTTGGAAATCTGAAAGCAAAACATAGTTTGCCTGATTTGGTCTGTCTCCAGGCTTGTTCATTTTGCCCATGTGATGCTCAGGAGGCCCAGGTATGAACTCAAGGGAGTCTTGGGGGAACCCACCTGCTTGACTGCCCAGCCCTGAGTGAACAGCCTGGGGCCAGGTAGGGCAGGCACCCCCAAAAGTTCCAGGCCTCAGGGACAGAGCATGGACAGGGCCACCATGTCGGCCACTTGCGAGGTTGGCTGACTTCTGCAGTTTCCCCATCAGAAATGGAGATGGCAAGTCAGTCTCTGAGAAAAGTACAAGCAAAGGAAAGAATTAGAAGCCCCTGGTGCATCTGGCTCAGGTCATTCTGCCACTGGTTACATTTCTTCCCAAAGCATTTACAGAGCCCTCCAACCAAGAAAAGTGCCATCCTGTTTAGATATAAAGTGACCCTTTTCGGAATTTTTGGCTAAGCACAATGCTTAACCCTGAATGTCTCCAGTTTCAGAAGCCTTTTGAATCTCCCAAAAGGAGAACCTCAAAGATGTAACCCTAACCCTTATCAGCTCTCAGCATCTCTGGCAGGGCAGGGAGTCAGAAGGGGTGCTACTTCTCTGACAATTTCACCTAGAAACCACAAGTGGAGAGTTTTCAAATTACAAGGTTTTCTCTTTGTTTTTCTTCCATTGGGTAAACTTTTAACATGGTTTGATAGGCAGCTCGCTAGCTAAATAACATATATTTTTAAGAGTACAGCTTAAATTAGAAATGTGTATTTTATCCTATTTTTTTAGTTAATACCCCCAGTTCTCACCATTCCCCATCAGATTTGATATGTGGCCTGTGTTATAGATCCTATTATTACATACAGTTCAATGTCTTTAGATTTCTTTTTTTTTTTAAAAGATTTATTTATGTATGCATACAAGAACTGGGGTATAGGCCAGAGGCACAGGAAGGTGAGCGGATACACCAGAGACAGAATGGGGAGCAGAACAGGTCAATCTACTGAAATACACTGCTGAGGGGAGCAGGAGAGGTCTGCTGTGCAGTGTGGGTTAGCTCCCCAGCCAGCGGGAGATTGAACTCCTGCTGCAATGGCTGGCCATAGCTTGATAGTGCTATGTCTTTAACCCCTGTGCCACCAGGGAGGCCCCGATTCCTTTTTTTTTTAAACATTGATTTACAATTATATAAGTTCCAGTTGTTGTAAGGTATTACAGTTTGACATGTATATATACTACATTATGATCTCTACCAAAAGCCTAGTTTCCATCCAGGAATGTGTATTTTTAGCACAAAAAAGAAAAGTGTCTTTAACGAAGTAGAGACCTTTTCCGAAAAGCACTTTGCCAGGGTTGTTGGATTTCTAGCCTGTTGGGAAGACAGCATCCCGGCCTCTCTGGCCCTCCTTGCCAAATTACTCACATCATTGCTGGCGCCCGGATCCACTTCCTCCCTGCCGCCCACCCCCAGACCCCACACCAAGCACACCGGCAGCCCTGGTGCTTGGAGGCCAGCCACCCCGGCCAGCACGGGAGCAGTCACACAATAGTTCCCCTAGCTGCTGGGAGCTCCAGTCCAGCAGTCCCTCCTCCTTGGACATATAATAGCACCAACCGGATATTTTTAGATCAGCTTTGAAAAGTTGCACTGTGCTGAGACCACATACCAGACGCGTGAGGTCACCGGCCCGCACGGGTAATCACAGAACCAGAAAACCAGGGCTCCGCAGGGGCTGCTGCCCTCACATCCTTTCCCTCTTGTCATCCCCAGAATGCCAGACCCGGCTGCTCCTTTAGAAGTTGACACAGAGGCTTGTCCTAAATTCCAAAGGGATTCCTGGGACTCTGTGGAGTGTAAATGTGCGTTTTGGGGACACTTCCTCGGCAGACGCTGGTCTTGAGCTCCCATGTGCTCATAGTTAGGCCAGGCCAGACTTCACACAGAGTGGGGAAGGGCCTGTGCTCAACTTAAGCTCAGGCGACCCTGCAGGGTCCATTGTCTGTGGAACAGAAGGAGATGGATCGCTGTTTGCTGCCCCCAGAGAGGAGCCTCAGAGCACATGGACTTTACTCCAAAGAAATAAGAGCTATATGGCTGGATCTAGGAGAAACTATACATTAAACCTAGAAAGAGTTTTCTCCAGAGGGCCCCTCAGTGCCTCCCATGCACATGGGGTTCCCCAGTGCACCCCAGTGCTCCCAGACCAGCCAGCCCTACAAACCCCTTCACCTGTCTGTGCCTCCCAACCCAGGCAATTTCGCCTTCCCTGGGCCTATTCCTTGGTTATCGCAGATGCTGCTGGCATCTGATGGGTGGTGTCCAAGGATGCTGCTCAGCGCCCCAGTGAACAGGGTGACCCCAGTCTGACCCCAAGTGTCAGTGGTGCAGGGGTTCCACAAACACTCAGGGTGCCCCTAGCAGCTGGCGCATGGCTGCTGACCAGTAGCTCTCTGACACTTGTCAGGACCTAATATTTAATCAGCCCCTTCAAAGACAGATCAAGGTGTCCTGGGAGGAGAGGGGCTCTGGAACCAGTGTCTGACTCAAGTAAATGCCTAAGGCCATTTCCTCCTCCACAGACCAGATGGAGGTGCCCCCCACAAAGCACCTGACCTCCAGGTTGCCGCGCTAAGGGTCTTCCTTTATTGCCACATTCCTGCTGGTCCACTTGGCAATAGGCTTAGGCTCACAGCTCTGAAGTCTGGAGCCCCAAGGGTAGTGGGGCAGAAAGTCCCTCAGAGCCGCCCCCTGAGGAAGGGTCCTGGACCTCCCACAGCATACCCTTTCTCATGTGTCTTCTGCCTTCAGGTCACTGCTCCAGAAGCTTCCATCAGTGACCACCTGCATCCATCCCCTTGCAGAAAGAACTAGAAAGTCCCATCTCCTCTTGGGGTTAGTACATCTCCCCACCCTGTCCACCCCAAAGGACCTGCAACCCCCTCTTCAAAACTTGGCTGGGGGGCCTCCCCAGAGGCGCAGCGGTTGAGCGCTGGGCTGCGAAGCTGCCCGCAGCCTCTGCAGTGCCAGTTCGATCCCCAGCTGCCAGTGAGGGTCCCACATGGTGCACAGACCTCTCCTGCTGCACCTGCTGCTCCCCTCAGCAGTGTACTTTTGTCAGTCTGCCTGTTCTGCTCCCTGCTCTGGCTCTGGTGAATTCTCTCACCCTCCCACGCTTCTGACTGTACCCAGTGCTTATATAAATAAATAAATAAATCTTAAAAAAAAAAAAAAAAAAAAAAACTTGGCTGGGGCCTCCCTGCACAGCTTCCCCAGACAGGAGCATTGCTAGTCTGACACCCATCTCATTTACTTTTCTTGTGCACCCAGACACACATGTATGACTCTAGGTGTCACCATCCCTTCCCTACCCTACCTCAGTGTTACCTCCTGGGCCACAAGGGGGTGACACTCCATAATCACCTCTTCCTCCCTCCTTCTCCTGTCAGTCTCACTTTACTTGAACAGTACCCCCCTCCAAAAAACCAGTACCCCAAGCCCCTGAAGGCTGTGTCTGTTCAATCTGTTCATCCCTGGGGGAAGGGCAGGATACTTCCCAGGAACCTGGGCAGGGATGGAGGTGTTCTCTGTCCTCATCTGGGTGGTGGTCATGTGGGAGGCCCTGGGAGTGGGGGTGGGAAGTGGGGGTGGGCGTTGAGTGGCAAGCTCCATGCACTTTACATTCTCGCCTCTGTGTTTGGGAAATGAAACCCCAATTCATGCCACAACACAAATGAATCCCGAAAACATCCTGCTGAGGGAGAGAAGCCAGACACAAAAGGCCACATAGTGTGTGATTCATTTATATGAAAAGCCCAGAACAGACAAATACACAGACAGAAAGCAGATTGGTGGTTATCAGAGGCTGGGGGAGGGGAACGGAGAGTGACTGCTCATGGGGATGGGGTTTCCTTTTCAGGTGATGGACTGTTCTGGAACTAGATAGTGGTAGTAGTTAACACAACATTGTGAATTGCACTGAATCATTCATTTTATGTTACGCCCATTTAACCCAATTTTTTAAAATTTTGCTATGAACCCACTTGTTCTCCTATAGGTGCAGGATCCCTCCAGGCTAGGACCTGTGTCCTTACCCACTCCTTCACATCCCTCACAGAGCCCGTATCAGCTTAGCACCCAGTAAACTCCTTCCTGAGAGGGCCAGATAATAATTATTTTCAGCTTTGTTGGCCAGGAAGCCTCTGTCTAACAACTCAGCTCTGCCATTGTGGCACCAGAAGCAGCTGGGAGTGACCCATAAATTGACAGGCCTGGCTCTCTGCCAGTAAGACTTTCACTATGGCCCCTGGGATGGGAATAGGGTTTTCATGTGTCAGGAAATATTACTCTTCTTTGGGATTTTCCTTAAACCATTTTGAAATGTAAAAAACATCCCTGGCTTGCAGGCAGCACAAAAAACAAGCAGCTGGGCCTCCCTGGTGGCACAAGGGGTTAAGCACAGCACTCTAAAGCTGTCCGTAACCACAGCAGCAAGAGTGGCCAGGGAGCCACTCACATGGTGCAGCAGACCTCTCCTGTCTTGCCTGGTGCTCCCCTCAGCAGTGTATTTCAGTAGATCTGCCTGTTCTGCTCCTCACTCTGTCTCTGGTGGATCCTCTCACCCTCCGCACCTCTGGCCTGCACCCCAGTTCTTATATGCATAAATAAATAAATCTTAAAAAAAAAACCAAGCAGCTAACCACATTTTGCCCACAGGCCAGTGTTTCCTATAGGAACAAATATAATTGAGAAAGAATTACCATAACTGGCATTTTTAATTGCAAAGGCTTAAAACTTGGGCTCCACACACAAACAGAGCTCAGGAGTTGATGGATCTCCATGCACCTGACTATACGCCTAAGTGTTTGCGTTTCTCAGAGCAACTTCCAGCAAGTATCCCCAGCACCCAGGGGGAGCTCTGAGGCCCATTGAAATTTCATCCTCACATCTGAATACATGCTTTTGTTTTCCCCACAGGCATTTGGGAACGCCAAAACGGCCCACAACAACAATTCCAGCCGATTTGGGAAATTCATCCAGGTCAACTACCTGGAGAGTGGCATCGTGAGAGGGTGAGTTGGCATCCACCGCCCGTGCAATTAGCCTCAGTCCGGTGTCTCCAGCCTCCCAAAAGTTAGGAGCCCATCCAGGAGCTCAGTGCTGAAATTATGGCTGAGCAGACATTTATGAATTATATGGGGCAAATGAGTGGTTTTAAGTTCTTGATGAAAAGGTCTGAGGGGTTGGTCGAGGTAGGAAGGGCAAGTGGGGAGGCCCTGCTTCCTGGGAGCATTGAGCATGACCCAGCACCCATGGATGTGCTGTCGTGATGAGATTTGCCCAATCCATTTCCTGGTCTTGACAGCATTTCTAATTCTGTAGGTCTCTGAGTACCCCAGGCAGGATTGAGGGGAACTCTGGCATTTGCCCCTATAGTCAGAAGGAGACATGATGCAGTTTTGGGAGGAAACTGTGAAGGGTAGGTGGAAGATGAATGTGAGGGAAACAGGAGGAAAGGTAGAGTGATGAATAGAATTCGTGGAAAGAATCGACTGTCATTCGGATGGATGGATGAGCGGATGGGTAGATTCACTAATGGATGGGTGACTGTGTTGATTGATTTGTGGGTGGGTGGGTAGATGATGGCTGGGAGGTTGGGTGGATGCTCTTTCATCAGGGTTCATTGCCTTGCTAGTCACAGGAATTGCCACCCCCTCAATTTTGGTATGAGGGTATTGGCGGCAGTGGTGTTTGTAAAAGTTCCAGGTGATGCTGAATAGCAGAATGAGAAGCCCTGAATGTTAGAGGTGGGGAGACCTAAGCTGCAGGCCAGAGAAGGTACAGGCATTTCAGGAAAGGGTGTGCCCCCCCTTCCCCATGTCATGAGGACAGGGGGTCAATTCCTATGTCTAGACTCTTCCGTCCTTCTAAACCTGACTAATAATCAGTTGGCAATTCACATTCAGGCCATGAGCAGGAATGCTGTTTTCCCTACTCCTCCAGTCTCTGGCTTCTTTCCTCAGCAGTCCCACCCCCAGTCAAGGCTCCAATAGCCCCAGGCCTTTGGTAAATACTCCCTCTGCATGGGCACCACTCCCTCCCACAGTGAGTGCCCCAGTCGACCAGAGACATCCAGAACCCAACCTGCACTTTCTCCACAAAAATCCTCACCGCTTCTATTTTTTCCCTCCCACGGGCCAAGTTACCCAGCTGTATCTGCCACATGGAGAACCTCTGACCAGCAAGAGATGCCCAGAATGTCTGATAGGGTAGATTATAGAGAAACTTAATGTTTCTACACTTCTAGGGGCTCCCCTTGAAGAGCAGGAATGCCAAGAAGCTGCCTCAAGTATTCCTGGGTCCAGGCTGGCTCAACACCGAGCCTTTGTTCCCAGGGGTGCTGCTCCTTCCACTCCACCCTAACCCTCTTCTCCACCTGGTTTCTATTTTGTGTCCTGGGGCCACTGTCACAAAGCACTGTAAACCAGGAGGCTTGAAATAACAGGAATTTCTTCTCTCCCAGTTCTGAAGGCCAGAAGTCCAAAATCAATCAGGGCATGCTCCATCCAGCAACTCCAGGAAAGGGTCCTTTTTGCTTCTTCCAGCTTCTGGGGCCTCCAGGCGTCCTTGGCTTGTGACTGGATTACCCCAGTCTCTGCCTTGATCTTCACATAACCTTCTCTGTGACTCTCTGGGTCTCCTCATCTGTCTTTTAGAACACTTTCCTTAAATTTAGGAACTACCTGGGGTGATCGTATAAAGATATCCTTCTCTTAATCATATCTGCAGACATTTCCAAATAAGATCCCAGGCTCAGGTGGACATATCCCTTCAACCCCGTTTTACTTTACACCAGCAAAGCCAATGTGCTCGCTTCGGCAGCACATATACACCAGCAAAGCCAAGTCATCCAGTCCATGCCACCTGCTCCAGACTTCCACCAAGCTCAGACCCAGTGGCCTTGGGTTGACTGCATTTCACAGACCAACTTTGGAAAGTGATTTCAGATCCAGTAAAAAAAAAAATGTCATGCATTGGCCCACAACTGTGGCTGCTCAAGGTTCCAGGAGGGAGGTGTACTTCCCACAGGAGTAGCTACAGACAGCCCATGAGGAGCAGGCCCAGACTTGGTTCTGCTTTTGAGCAGTTGAGCAGATGACACTTCTCGATGCAGTTTCCCGCTGAGACCAAGGGTCAGGGGCAGTCCAGGCCTCCCTCAGTTCCGCAATTTGTAAGGCCTCTTTTTCCAGTTGGCTCAAGGGCTCAATGCTGGGGGATCTCTGACTCCCACTAAGACTGCCATAGGGACCTGAGCCTCCAACGCGATCGGGAAAGTGAAGGGCCTTTTGTCCTTCAGATGCCAGCAGGATGCCAGTGAGGGGCTGCCATCTTCCACACTTGGCCAGCACAGCACAGAATCCACCACAGAGTGAGATTCAAGTATGAGCCTGCAGCTCTAGAACTCGATGTGGTCTTTCTCCCCGGGAGAACAAATTGCAGATAGCTAAAATTTAGTTGACCCTGGAGTAATTCAGGGGCTAGGGCTGCTGACAACCCCTCCCCCAATGCACACACAGTTGAAAATCCACATATAATTTTTGACTCCCCTAAAACTTAATATCCTGCTGTTAACTGGAATACTTACTGAGAACATACACAGTCAACACATGTTCTGTATGTTACGTGTACTACGTACTGTATTCTTACAGTAACGTATACTAGAGAAAAGAAAATATTAAGTGGTGTTGATCCCCTGGCCCTGCCACTGCTCTGACATCAGTTGCCTCCTGTAAAACTGAAGGGCTCAGAGGAGGGTGGCCTGCGCGGCCGCCTACCTCATACCCTTGGTGATCGTGGGTCCCCTAGAAGACCAGCCTTTCCTGTCCTGGTGGGGTTGAGGAAGCAGGTACCCATGCCTTTCAGGTGCCTGCTGGGCCACCTCCTGTGAGTTCCCAGGCAGCAGGAGGTCCCTCCACTTTCTAGTACCTCATCCATCTGTGGGAGTCTAGATGCCACGTTCCTCCCTAGGAGAGCAAATAACTATAGTAAAGTCGACTTTGAACAACGCAGGGGCTAGGGTGCCAACCCCACACCCATGTAGTTGAAAATCCACTCATAACTTTTGACTCCCCCCAGTCTTATCCAACAGTGTATATATATCCCAAAGGGTGGGAGGATTCAGGGTGTTATGTCACTGCAAAACGGTGCCTAAAATTTTTGTTTTCGTGACCGTGAGTGTTGAGATGATGGCTGACAAAGTACCTGGTTGCTGCCCCAGCACTCACACAGCCTCATGGAGTCCATCCCCCATGTCCATCGATGGATGAATAGACAAGCACAACGCAGTGTAGAATATATGTGGACTATCACTCAGCCATAAAAGGAATGGGGTTCTGATACCTCTGCATCATGGTCGAATCTCAGAATCCTGGTGCCAAGTGGAAGGCAGACATAGTATACAAACTGAACGAGTCTCTTTAAAATTCTAAAGAAGTCAGGAGGAAAAAAGACAAAAGAAAAATAAAATAAAATTCTAGAAAAATCAAACTGTCTTCAGTGGGGCCAGTCAGTGGCTACAGAAGGGTGGGGGTGGGAAAGAATGACTAAGGGCCAGGAAATTTTTTGGGGTGTCAGGTGTGTTCACAATCTTGGTGTTGGTGGTGGGCTCCTAGGTGTTTGCACACATTACAACTCATCTAGTCTCATACTTCAAGTTGATCGTGTGTCAGTGACCCCTAACAATGCTTTTTTTCAAAATGATATGGAATGTGAAAGGCCCCAGTCAAAACTTAACGTGTGGCATACTTTCAATGTGGGCAGTGTGTATCATATGTTGATAATCAATAAAGCTGTACAAAAAGAGCAAAAAAATGAATTCATGCTCATTGCATCTTTTCTTTTCAATTGGAGGAACGTTTAAGAGCTAGAGAGATGGTAGAAGCAGGAGGGACTGTCCTGTATTGTTCCTGAACACATAGGTCCAGTTGCTCCAGGGAGGGGTTCTCCACAGGATACCACATTGGGCTTCCCCATGCAGTGGCCAGCCTGAATCGGGTCTGCGGAGCAGATGCGTCAGCCCAGGGCCCTTAGTTTTAGAAATGGTAGCTACAGGACAAAGGAGCAAGTAAGGTAGTTATATTTATGGCATTTGAGTTATTTATGGCATTTATGATGCTACAGTTATGCATTGCTTAGTAAGGGGAACACGTTCTGAGAAACATCAGGCAATTTCATCGTTGTGTGAATGTCAGTCTGTAACTTACACAAACTTACAGGGTACAGCCTGCTACCCAAGCAGACTCAATGGTGCAGCCTGTTGGGACCCCCATCACATAATGTGTTCCATTGTCAAGTGAAACATCATTAAGCAGCGCATGATTGTGTTTGTACATTTAGGGTGATTGTATTTATGACACTTATCATGATTATATTTACAGTGTTTAAGGTGTCTGGTTGTATTTATGATATGTATGGGTGTATTTACAATTTAGGATTGTGCTTACCACATGTAGAATGATTATATTTGCAACATTTAGGGTAATTATAGTTCCAGCAGTTAGCTTGATTATATTTGCCATGTTCAGGGTGATTATGCATCTGTATTTACCTCGTGTCAAAGGAAGTTGAAGTTAATTCTTTGTTGACTTTGCCACAGCAACAAATTACTCTAGTTCTTTCATGAAACGACATTCAAATAAATGCTTTACCCTTTTTCCTTTTCACGACAGAGCTGTTGTCGAAAAATACCTGCTTGAGAAGTCTCGCCTGGTCTCTCAGGAGAAGGATGAGAGGTAGGACCTTTCCTCAGTAACTTCACACATAAGCCTTTTTCCCAGTAGAAACAAGCAGGCGCTCAGATTTGGGGCTGGGGCCGGGGGGTTGTCAGTGGCACATCCCAGGCCTGCTCCTAAGCCAACCTTCTGTGCTTGCTGCGTGCCTCCTGGGGGATTAACCTAGACTAGGGGCTCATGTCTGTCAAAATGTGCTTAGATTAGAAGCCTCTCTGATCAGCCAGTGACAGGGACATACATCCCCATTACCCCCACTCCCCCCCCGCCACACACACACATATACACAGACATCTACTCATGGGAGCCGCTCAGATTAGTTTTTTTTAAGACATTGAAGAATGAGTCATTGTCTCAAATTTGTACATAAGGGCTCCTTCCTCCCTGGCATGGTGTCTCTGAAGCAACATTAGCAATAGTTTGAAAAGTTGCTATTGCTTGGCCTCCAAAAATGACTTTTTTCCTCCTCTTTTCACCCTTAGGAACTACCACGTGTTTTATTATTTGTTACTTGGTGTCAGCGATGAAGAACGTCAAGAATTCCAACTCAAGCAGCCTGAAGATTATTTCTACCTCAACCAGGTAAACAGCCCTGACTCCTGGCCACAAACACCACCTCTGTTCCCTGCTGGTTGTTTACGCGTCCTGCCAGGTCGGAGGCCGCCCTCCTTGGCTCTCTGTGGAGTCCCCAAACCAGCTCCAGGGAGATGGTATAAAGGATCCCATTCATTCCTGATGTCCTGGGCCCTGCCCATCAGTCCCAGCCAAAATCATCCTGGCATACCACCCTCACTGGCCCAGAAACACCCAGCATGCGCCTGTTTTTCAGCATAACTTGAAGATCGAAGATGGAGAGGATCTAAAGCACGACTTTGAACGACTCAAGCAGGCCATGGAGATGGTGGGCTTCCTCCCTGCCACCAAGAAGCAGTAAGTGGGTGGGCCTGCTACCCCACCATCTCCCCTATGGGCACCCCCACGTCTTACAGTCACCCTGAGGTCTGATCAACACCGGGTGATTGCTGCACCAAGAGGGTAGTCTGATGACCATGAGCACACAGAAGGGACTCTTGTCATTAGTCATTGGGAAATGCCAGTTAAAACCAGAGGGGCTTCGGGCCTCCCCGGTGGCGCAGCGGTTGAGCTCTGGGTTGCGAAGCTGCCCACAGCCTCTGCAGCGCCGGTTCCATCCCCAGCTGCTCCCCGGCCACCAGAGGAGGGTCCCACATGGCGCGCAGACCTCTCCTGCCGCCCGCTGCTCCCCTCAGTAGTGTACTTCAGTCCTTCTGCCTGCTCTGCTCCCCGCTCTGGCTCTGGTGAATTCTCTCACCCTCCCGTGCTTCTGACTGTACCCAGTGCATGTATAAACAGAACAAACAAACAAACAAATAAATAAATAAAAACATGCCTCTATAAAAAAAAAAAAAAAAACCCAGAGGGGCTTCTCCCAGCAGCATAAATGTACTAGCATGACAGAACTACATGCTTAAAAATGACTAAGGTTTATGTGATGTGTTTTTTACCATCAACTAAAATTTCAGAAAAGTATTAACAACCACATGCGGATCTTCCACATCTGCCTGGATAGCCAGTATCCCCAGCACACTTTGGAAAAACGTTTGGTGGTTTCAACTACAGCTGTGTATACATGACACACGTTTACTCAGCCAAAGACACACACATAAATGCACACAGCAGGCTCGTTTATGATCACCAAAAATAACCAGAAATCCCCCAAAGTCCACTAGTGGAAGATTAAATAAACAAATGGTGGTACATCCATGCAGGGGCCAGCAGTAAAGGGCCAAACACGCCATGGCTTGCTGACCCCTAGACTAGTCCACACTCAGCACAGCTCTCACCTGGGCCAGATCTGCCCCAGGGGACACTCAGTCATGGTTATCACACTGAGGGGTGGAGCAGGGGAGACACTGGCATCTGGTGGGTAGAGGCCAGGGATGCTGCTCGGCACCCATAGTGCCCTGGATGGCACACATAGCAGAGAGCCAGTGTGAAGCTGAAATGCGATGAAACCATTGACATTGAATTATGCTGCCTGCATTAACAGGAGTGGCACCCCACCCCCACATCATTCTAATGACAGCCAGATACAAGTACATATGATTTCATTGACATCAAGTTCACGGTCAGCATTAGACATCAGAACAGCAGCACTTCTGGAGTCTGGAATGTACTACCCCTTGATATTTGTGCTAGTTACCAGGATCTCTAAATTTTGTGACAGTTCACAAACCTCTACGCTTGGAGAACATGTACTTTTTTTGTAGGCAGTTATACATTCATTAAAAAAACTTTTTAAGGGCCTCCCTGATGGCACAAGGGGTTAAGTTGCAGCACCATGAAGCTATCGACAGCCACTGCAGCATGAGTTTGATCCCTGGCCAGGGAGCTACACACATCACGCAGCAGACCTCTCCTGTCTCCCCACTGCACCCCTCAGCAGTGTATTTCAGTCAGTCTGCCTGTTCTGTTCCCCACTCTGTCTCTGGTGGATCCACTCACCCCCTGCATCTCTGGCCTGTACCCCAGCTCTTGTATGCATAAATAAGTAAGTCTTGGGGAAAAAAAAAAAAACTTTCTAAGCCCCCACCGCACCAAAAAAAAAAAAGGGGAAACTCCAGTCTGTAAAGCTCTACAGAGGGAGTCCCTGACAGTGGGATTCCAAATTTTTTTTTGAAGATTTATTTATTTATGCATACAAGAGCTGGGGTACAGGCCAGAGGTGTGGGGAGGTGAGACGATTCACCAGAGGCAGAGTGGGGAACAGAAGAGGCAGACTGACTGAAGTACACCGCTGAGGAGAGCAGCGGGTGAGACAGGAGAGGTCTGCTGTGCCATGTGGGTAGCTCCCTGGCTGGCCGGGGATCAAACTTGTGCTGCAGAGGCTGTGGATTGCTGTATAGTGCTGTGCTTAACCTCTTGCGCCACGAGGGAGGCCCAGGATTCCAAATTTTTGAAACTCACATGTCCTGACTGCCTATTACTGGATTTACAAATTCAGCCTAGTTTGCTGGAAGTTTCTATAGACACCACTACCACCCATGCTTTCTTTGTCTCAGGATTTTTTCAGTTCTCTCGGCCATCCTGTACCTGGGCAACGTGACCTACAAGAAAAGAGCCACTGGCAGGGATGAAGGCCTGGAAGTCGGGCCCCTTGAGGTGCTAGATACGCTGTCGCAGCTCCTGAAGGTACCACCTCCCTCACTCGGAATGTTGAGCCTGTGGCGCAGGGGAGCCAGAACTTCCTGCATCAGCCATGCTTCTTCTGCAAACTGAGTCCACTTGCTTCCTCTTTACCATCTCTGCAGTGCACCTTCCTCGTTTCTGAAGGGCTCCCTCCCTGGCGGGGACCTATCATGCACATCACAGGGCGGCAACTCTGAGGGTGGGTCTAGTGCGAGCAGGCACAGGGCAGGTTCACTGTGAATTCAAGCAGACAGATAAGGAGAGTCCTGGAGACCCCGATGGATTTTTACAGGCCTTTAATGCTCTCTCAGGTTACCAGGTAACAGACATACCAGGCAGGGAGACTGGCATGCAAGGAGGCAGGCACTGGCCAGGCAGGGGGGTCAGGATTCTCTGGAGGCAACCAGCCCACCATCCCCCAGGAATCTTTGGGCTTTTTCTCTGGCCTCTCTGGTGTTACTGTCTCATGGACGCGCCTCAGAGTACACCTCCTGTAGCTATAGCCCCCTCTCAGAGTGATGCCGCCCTTTTATCCCTGGTCTCTGGACACAGATTCCCCACACTTAAACGTGCACACTCTGCTCTCTGGGCCCAGATGTCCACAATCATAGGCACATGTGCCCTGAGCCCGCACCTCTTGGCCCTGGTATTCATGCAACAAAAAGTCTGTTAACTTCATTTACCCTACAGTGGGCTTCGAGTCACTTCTTGGTATAGCCACAGGCATCCTTTCCACCTTCCACAAGTTTTGGGCCTTATCTCAGTGACATGAGGATCTGCCCAACAAGCTCTCCACTCACACCCTCTTCTCTTCCCTCTTGGACCTTGATACAGGTAAAACGTGAAATCTTGGTGGAAGTTCTGACCAAAAGAAAAACAGTGACTGCCAACGACAAGCTCATCCTCCCCTACAGTCTCAGTGAGGTGAGCACTGCCCTGGGTTCTCAGGAACACTAGACCCAAAAATACCAGTGCACAGGTTCATTACAAACAGTTGGCTTGGATGGTCTTTTTCCTGTCTCCAGAATGGCAAAGGAGAACCCAGGGACCCCTCTGGTTCTCACTTGAGCCCAGGCGTGGCACACATCAGCTCAGATAGCAAATTGCACCCCACAGGCCAGAATATGAACCACTCTTTTCCATGTCTGCATTTCAGACTGCTCAGCAGGTGTGCTGGTTCTCATCTGCAGGGCCACCTGTGGCCTGCAGACCTGCATTTGTAAACAGTTTTATTGTCACATGGCACAGCCATTCATTTACCTGCTTCTTCCCAAAGTTCCAAGAATATTGACCCTCTGACCCTTTCTAGAAAAAGTTTTTCAACCCCAGGGCTACAGCAGCTCCTTTAAAACCATTTTGTGGTTCCCTAAATCTTACTGAGGCACCTTTGTGGCCTTGGCTTCAGCCTGCATGTTTCCTTTATGACTGTTTTACATCTTATAGTTTAGATAGCAGCCATGGGGGCAGGGGTGAATGTTTAGCTGATGGCCCAGCTAGGAAGCTGGCCCAGTATCTCGAACAGGCACCCCAGACTCTCTGAATCCTATGGGCAGAAGCATTCTGCAAAGTTACACAAAAGTTCCTGCAGGACCCTGAGATCCATGTGGCTCCATTTCTACCACAACTGGAAAAGGCAAAGCCAGAGGGACACATTCTAGATCTTGATGGCAGCCAAGCACACCTGTGAGTCACTTAATGGCATTTTAGTCCATGGCAGACATTTTATACAGCTGTGTTCCCAGTAGGTGACACCATGTAGGTTTGTGTTACGACACTATACCTTTGCACAATGATGAAATCGCCTAACAATGCATTTCTTTTTTTTTTTTTTTTTTTTTAAAGATTTATTTAGGGGGCTTCCCTGGTAGCGCAAGGGGTTGAGCACTGCACTGTGAAGTGGTCCGCAGCCTCTGCAACACAAGTTTGATCCCGGCCGGCCAGGGAGCAACACACATGGTGAGGCAGACCTCTCCTGTCTTGCTGGCTGCTCCCCTCAGCATTGTATTTCAGTCGGTCTGCCTGTTCTGGTCCCCGTTCTGTCTCTGGTGAATCCTCTCACCCCGCTGCATCTCTGGCCTGTAGACATAAATAAATAAATCAATTTAAATGAATGAATGAATGAATGAATCGATTTATATAAATGAATGAATGAATTTAAATGAATAAATAAATCGATTTATTTATTTATGCATACATGAGCCAGTGTACAGGCCAGAGATGCAGGGGGGTAAGCGGATTCACCAGAGCCAGAGCGGGGAGCCTAATAGGCAGACCGACTGAAATACACTGCTCAGGGGAGCAACGGACAAGACAGGAGAGGTCTACCTTGCCATGTGGGTTGCTCCCTGGCTGGCCGGGGTCAAACTCATGTTGCAGAGGCTGTGGACTGCTTCACAATGTGGTGCTTAGCCCCTTGCGCCACCAGGGAGGCCCACAATGCATTTCTTAGAATATGTCCCCATCATTAAATGACATGTTACTGTTCACCAGTGGTCCCCAGATTCTTGTTCCTAGTGACACAGCCGTCCTGACATCTTCGCATTTTAAACAGGCAGCAGTCTCAAACATCTCATGATAGCATGATTTTCCATTGTGATTGATTTAATCTCATGTTTTGTGCATCATGACCCATAAGTATACAGAATCCATTGCTAAGGTTGCCTTTGCACAGTGACAAAATTGTCTAATATAGATGCATTTTCCAAAATGTATCCTATTATTAAGTGATGTATAACTGTACATGAAAGGAAGGAACTTTTTTCTATAAATTAGACCTAAGTCTTTGTAAAAAAAAAAAATGTGAAAGACATTGCTGCTTTTACACATAGGATGGTAACCCCATTGGTGCTCCCAGACCTTTAAGGGGTACGACTTTGAACCCAACCCAGCCTTCTGTCTAGTTCTCCCACATGGGTGGGTCCAGTGCCCTTCCAGAGCCTACATTCTAATCTCTGTGGTCCCCAGTTGCTCTTTGTTTTTTTGTTTTTTTTTTTTTTTTTTAAATGTTTCAATAGCAAGTTCTCGCTTTTATTTATTTTTTTTATAGAGGCATGTTTTTATTTATTTATTTGTTTGTTTTTTGTTTTGTTTATGCATGCACTGAGTACAGTCAGAAGCGCGGGAGGGTGAGAGAATTCACCAGAGCCAGAGAAGGGAGCAGAGCAGGCAGAAGGACCGAAGTACACTGCTGAGGGGAGCAGCGGGCGGCAGGAGAGGTCTGCGCGCCATGTGGGACCCTCCTCTGGTGGCCGGGGAGCAGCAGGGGATCGAACCGGCACTGCAGAGGTCGCGGGCAGCTTCGCAACCCAGCGCTCAACTGCTGCGCCACCGGGGAGGCCCCCCAGTTGCTCTTTGAAGGGAACTTGTACATGAGAAGGACATGGCCAATTACAGACTGCTGGGCCCACGCCTTGCAGTTCATGGTTAGGTGTGACAGTAAGGTGGCATTAAAACAGAGAAGTGGGGTGCTCAGTGAGTCAGGTTTAAAGTCCTTGCCTCTATTTCCCTATATGTATAGATCCCTCCAAGATCTGATGCCCCCTCTGTGCCCACAGGCCATCACCGCCCGCGACTCCATGGCCAAGTCACTGTACAGTGCCCTGTTCGACTGGATTGTTCTGCGTATCAACCACGCCCTCCTCAACAAGAGGGACATGGAAGAGTCTGTGTCAGTGAGTGCCCCCCCACCATTCCACTAAGTTGGGCCAGGGGAAACCATGCCCCCAATGCTGCATTTACTCAGTAAACTACCCAGGACTTTGGGAGTCCAGCAAAAGGTAGATTCCTTCCATGGGTAAGCCCAGGGGGCAGTTCATCATTCATAGGACCCCATACAAAGTAAATATACAAGGTTCCTTCTTTAATTGTTACAGATTCCAAGGCAGCAACAGCAGAACTTGGTCTAACAGGACAGTCCCACTGGAGAACCCATGGTAATAACTGTTTTCTCCTATTTTCTCTGTCTTCCCCAGTGCCTATCCATCGGGGTCCTTGATATCTTCGGGTTTGAGGACTTCGAGAGAAACAGTTTTGAACAGTTCTGCATTAACTATGCCAATGAACAGCTCCAGTATTACTTCAACCAACACATTTTTAAACTGGAACAGGTAAGGAGATGCTATCTTGTCCCAAGGTAGGACAGAATGAGCTAGAACTGGGATCTCCCTTGGGGTCCAGTTAGTCAGTAAATCCACGCCAAAAATTTTCATTGTAAGAGGGAAAGTCCAGGAAAATGCCCCATATCACCCCAGCCCAGGATGAACCAAGCATCAGGGATCTTCTTGGCCACAGGTCAATTTTGCTTCTTCCCTCACTTAAACATGAAAGTTCTTTCATTGAGAAACCAAGTTGTCTTGCAAGGATTTGCTTTTGTCAAGAACAATAATAATTGATCTTATGTGTCTTCTCACTATTAGTCAGCTATCTTTACCCAACTATAGTCCTTCTCATTGATGATTCTGATGGGGAAAAAACTGATGGATTTTTTAAAAATATGTAGGTGGTTTTACTTATTATATCTTCTGACTGTTGAGCCACTTAATGTGGCTGGTCCAAATTGACCTATTCAGGAAGAGCAAAATACAGATTATGAGCAAAATAGCAGATTGTGAAAACATAGTATAGAGGGAAAGAATATAAAATGCCTTAATAATTTTTATGTAAATGACATGTTGACATGATCATATTTTAGAAATAGTGGGTTAAGTTGGTATATTATTAAATTGGCCTCATTTGTTTCTTTTTATATTTTCAAATGATTTAGGAAATTCAAATAGAAAATAGTTCACTCACATTTTATGACTATGGGAAGTTACTGTTTCAGAGCAATCTGGCCCCACAACCTATTTTATATATAAAGCTTTATTGAAACATGACCATGCCCATTTGTTTATTTGTCTGTGGCTACTTTCACTCTATACCAGCAGAGCTGAGTAATTATGACAGATACCATCTGGTTCAAGAAGCCTAGTATATTTACTCTCTGACTCGTTACAGACAGTTTACAGATCTCTGGGTAATTTTAAGTACCTTGCTATGATAGATATTTAAGAATGTGTGTTTCTGTTACAATATTGCTAAGTATCAATTTATGCAATATGAAGTGTTGAACTTATCAGCCACTCATCAAACCTGCAGGAGGAATACCAGAGTGAGGGGATCTCATGGCATAACATAGACTACACAGACAATGTCGGCTGCATCCATCTCATAAGCAAGAAACCCACCGGCCTCTTCTACCTGCTGGATGAGGAAAGCAAGTGAGTGTCCACACTCTGGCCAATCTACAAGCCAGGGCACTAACCATTCCACAGCCCCTAAAGCCTTACCCCAAATTCAAACTATTCAAGTAACTTCTGAGTTTCTCAGTCTCATTGGCCGAAATCTTGAGCTCAGGTTTGCAAGTTACACATACTGTTCACCACATAAACATTAACACCTGTGACAACTGTGAATTTGGAAACATACCTACCCGGGGGTTCTCTGGAAAGGGTCTATGGGACTCGGTTCGTGTGTCTCTGCAAAAGGCAGTATGTGGAATCTGCGGTGGGAGTGCCCAGACCTAGCACCCTTTGGCAGCAGGACATGGTGAAGACTGAAAGGGGTGTTTAAAGATTCATTTTTATTAATTTATGCATACAAGAGCTGGGGTGTAGGCCAGAGGTGCAGGAGATGAGAGGATTCACCAGAGACAGAGTGGGGAGCAGAGCAGGTGGATCTACTGAAATACACTGCTGAGGGGAGCAGCAGTCAAGACAGGAGAGGTCTGCCACACCCGGTGGGTTAGCTCCCTGGCTGGGGATCAAACTTGTGCTGCAGTGGCTGGTGATAGCTTGATAGCACTGAGCCTTTAACCCCTGCACAACCAGGGAGGTCTGGAATGCATGTTTATAAGCAATCTCATGCTCAGTCACCCAGCAACAGTCCCTGAAATGGAAGTCACTAAAATTCATTTGCTGAATTTATTTCCTGTGGCTGCTATAACAGATTACCACCAAGGTAACTTAAAGCAACAGAAATTTATTGTCTTAGAGTTCTGGAGGCCAAAAGTCCAAAATCAGTATCAGTGGACTGAAATCAATGTGTGACAGGACCATGCTCCCTCCCAGTGTTCTTGGGAAGGATCCTTCCTGCTTCTTCCAGCTCTTGGTGGCCTCAGACATCCTTGGTGTGTGGCCACATTGCTCTAATATCTGCCTCTATCCAGTCCTTCCCTTGTGTGTCTCTAACTTGTCTCCATTTCTTGTAAGGATACCAGTCATACTGGGTTGGAGCCCTCATAATAACCTCATTTTAACTAATTCTATCAGCAAAGACCCTGTTTCCAAATAAGGTCACACGAGTTCCAGGAGTCAGGACACAGACCTGTCCTTTCATAAATAACTCTTTTTCAGGCCCTTCATTTGCTGCTGAAGCCCAAGAGGCTGGAGTGACTCTAGCTCATCTGCCTCAGACCAAGTTCCTATCCATGTCTGGGGACAGACATGTCCATTAACACCTGAGATCTAATCTAAATAGTCACTGGGAATTCCTGGGATCTGGGAAATTATGTCTTGCCTAGCAGGATCCAGTCTGTCTTTTAAAATCTTGCTACTTTTGTTCATTGTAGATTTTTTTTTAATTAATTTGTATTTTCCAAAGCAGCACATTATAATGTTATTTACCCCTGTGACTGAGTGAGCACATCTCTCACTGATCATGACCGTTCCCTAGTCCTGGCAATGGCATGCTTCATAGCCACACAGTCTCCCCATCCTCACACCTTCACCTCTGTTAAGCCATGGAGCCCAGATTTGGGGATTCATTGGGAGGCACATTGCGCTGCCTGTGTATGCGATGATGGGGCTGGGCACAGAAGGGCATGCCAGAGCTGACTTGGCATTTCCTTCCCAGAGAGAAATGTTCAGGTACAGGGGTCCCTTATTCACCTTTACTCACCCCCCGCCCCCACCCCATCTGCTTCATCCCCATCTCTCAGCCCCTCCTTCTGACAGGAGCATAATACACAAGAACCCTTCCAGGGCCTCCCCAGTGGCGCAGGCGATTAAGCGCAGCACTGTGAAGCTCTCCGCAGCCTCTGCAGTGCGGATTCGATCCCCGCCAACTGTGGAGATACCCACATGGCGAGCAGACCTCTCCTGTCTCGCCTACTGCTCCCCTCAGCAGTGTATTTCAGTCAGTCTGCCTGTTCTGTTCCCCACTCTGTCTCGGGTGAATCCTATCACCCTCCCACACATCTGGCCTGTACCCCAGTTCTTGTATAAATAAATAAATCTTTAAAGAACCCTTCTAATACATTGCACATCTAGGCACAGATGGATCTAAAACCAGAATCCTCCTGGGATTTTTCCTGGGAGCTTCCAAGGATCCTGGCATCAGGCTGCCCTGTACCTAGTTTATCCTGCAACCCCAAGCATGTCACTTTGCCCCAACAGCAGCCCCTAGGCCCCATGTTAAGCTGCACCATAGCTTAACAGAGTATAGCCCCAACTCCCATCTGCCCCATCCATGGAGGGCCTTCAGTCTGTGGTCAGCCAGTGCTCCTGCAGCTAAAGGTTTCCGTCCTTCTTCCCAGCTTTCCCCATGCCACAAGCCAGACCCTGCTGGCCAAGTTCAAGCAGCAACACGAGGACAATAGGTACTTTCTTGGCACTCCTGTCATGGAGCCGGCATTCATCATCCAGCACTTCGCAGGAAAAGTGAAGTATCAGATCAAGGTATGCTTCAGTCCATTGCTCATGTTGCCAAGCCACCCTCAACCTAGGAGGTGGGGAGGGGACCACATGGCCACCCTGGAGGCCCCTTCCCTCTAATGCTTGTCCCATCATCCCCTTGGCTGATCGTGCTGGGCAAGGTTCTCAAGGTGCTTAGACCCAGCCCAAAAATTCCCAACTCCGTGGGGATGGTTGAGCTGGGCCCACCATGCCAGCCTCCCTGCTCCTCCACGTAGGCCCCTGTGGCCTCAGTGAGCACTGACAGGTGACCACCTCCCTACCCACCACCAGGACTTCCGGGAGAAGAACATGGACTATATGCGACCAGACATCGTGGCCCTCCTGCGGGGCAGCGACAGCTCCTATGTGCGGGAGCTCATCGGCATGGATCCCGTGGCTGTGTTCCGCTGGGCTGTGCTCCGGGCCACCATCCGAGCTATGGCTGTGCTGCGGGAGGCGGGGCGCCTGCGGGCAGAGCGGGCTGAGAAGGCTGCAGGTAGGAGGGGCCCCCAGTGTGTCACAGTGGTTGGGGACACACAGTCTCTTTTAAAGCACATGATTCAGGGGGCATTTAGCACATTCGCCATGTTGTGCAACCACCACCTCTATATATTTTCAGAACTTTTTCATCCCAGACAGAAAAGTCTGCCCCAGTTGTTTACTTTAACCTCATCACCCTCACAAGGCAGGAAGGCATGTTCCTGTTTTCCCATAAGGAAACATGAGGCCCAGGATGGTGGAGTGCCCCCTCCCCCAGGGTCACAGAGTGCCAACCAGCTCCAGATAGACAAAGAGCATCGAGTTAAAAGAGACCAAAGCTTTTATGAGAAGCAGGGAATAAGCAGTGTTGTTTTGGGGAGAATCAACCACCTCTCAGTTCCCTGTTGTGCCCAAATTTAAGCATCAAGCTGTTTTTTTGTTTGTTTTTTTTTTTTAATTTTAATTTTATTTTTATATTCCCCATATAATTGCAACCCCCTTATTTTGACCCTAAGCCCTCCTTTCCCTGCAACCCCCCCCCATAGAGTGTCTCTGGTTCATAGTTTTTTGTTGATTTTGATTTTTACTTTCTTATAGTTTTTTTCTTTTTCCTGGTCTCTTATTTAAGTTTTCTAGATTCCTGCTATGAGTGAGACAATCTGGTATTTTTCTTTTTCTTTCTGGCTTACTTCGCTGAGCATGATCCCTTCCAGCTCCATCCATGTTGCTGCAAATGGCATGTGTTTATCTTTTTTGAATGCTGAGTAATATTCCATGGTGTATATGTACCACATCTTCTTGATCCAGTCATCTGTTTTTGGGCATTTGGGTTGTTTCCAAAGCTTAGCTATTGTAAACAGTGCTGCTATAAACATAGCGGTGCAGGTGCTCTTTGGAATTGATGTTTCTGTGTCCTTTGGGTAAATACCTAGGAGTGGAATTGCTGGATCATATGGAAGCTCTATGTTTAGTAGGTCCAGAAATCTCCACACAGCTCTCCATAGTGGTTGGACCAGTTTGCACTCCCACCAACAGTGCAGGAGAGTTCCTTTTTCTCCACAACCTCACCAACATTTGTTGTTGCTAGTTTTTTTAATATGTCCATTCTCACTGGTATGAGATGGTATCTCATTGTAGTTTTGATTTGCATTTCCCTGATTACAAGTGATGTTGAACATTTATTCATATGCCTGTTGGCCATTTGCATTTCCTCTTCAGAGAAGTTTCTTTTTATGCTTCTGCCCATTTTTTGACTGGATTATTTTCTTTGTTTTTGTTGAGTTTCATCAGCTCTTTGTAGATTTTTGTGATCAGTCCCTTTATCACTAGTGTTGTGTGCAAAAATGTTCTCCTAGTTGGTGGGGTTTCTCTTTGTTTTTGTTATTGTCTCTTTTGCTGTGCAGAAGCTCTTTAATTTGATGTAGCCCCAGCTGTTTATCTTTGCCTTCACCATCACTGCTTTGGGTGATGTGTCTGTAAAGATGTCTTTGATGTGCATATCATGTAGTATTTCGCCTATATTTCCTTCTATGTATTTTATGGTTTCAGGTCTTGTGTCTACTTCTTTAATCCATTTTGAGTTGGTTTTTGTGTATGGTGTGAGGTAGTAGTCAAGCTTCATTCTTTTGCATGTAGCGACCCAGTTTTCCCAGCACCATTTATTAAACAAACTTTCTTTGCTCCAATTCATATTCTTTGCTCCTTTGTCAAAGATTAGTTGACCATCAATCTGTGGGTTTATTTCTGGATTTTCTATTTGATTCCATTGGTCTGTGTGTCTGTTCTTGTTCCAGTACCATGCAGTTTTGATGATTATGGCTTTGTAGTACAGTTTGAAGTCTGGGAGTGTGATGCCTCCATTCCCTTTTTTTTTTTTTTTTTCAGGAGAGATCAAGCTGGTTTTTTTTTTTTTTTTTTTTTTCCATAGAGGCATGTTTTATTTATTTGTTTGTTTTTTTGTTTTGTTTATACATGCACTGGGTACAGTCAGAAGCGCGGGAGGGTGAGAGAATTCACCAGAGCCAGAGCGGGGAGCAGAGCAGGCAGAAGGACCGAAGTACACTGCTGAGGGGAGCAGTGGGCGGCAGGAGAGGTCTGTGCTCCATGTGGGACCCTCCTTCGGTGGCCGGGGAGCAGCTGGGGATCGAACCGGCACTGCAGAGGCTGCGGGCAGCTTTGCAACCCAGCGCTCAACCGCTGCGCCACCAGGGAGGCCCCTCAAGCTGTTTTTTTAAGACAGGTTCAAGTAAGGATCACACTGTCATGGGAAAATGCAAGCCAGCTGTTGGGCTCTGGGGAACCCCCACACCTCCCACACACACACAGCCAGTTCATCTGTTCTGTGTCCCCAGCAGGTCTGCGCAGCCCTGGCACCCGAAGCTACCCAAGCGAGCAACAGAGAGGGGTCGGCACCCCGTCGGAGAAACTGTACCGGTGAGCAGGCCCCTGATTTGTCCCGGCCAAAGCCAGTAGACAAGAACTTGGCTAAAACTACACCAGGAACCCGTGTTGGGTTTGACCTGACAAAGGCACTCAACAGCCACTTGAACAAAAAAACCCAAAAGCAGTGGCATCTGGTTGCTCCTTTTTTGCTGCCAGAAATGCAGGCCCCTGTGCATCATTATCAGTGTTAGGGAGTTGCAGGGTCACTCATTTTACAAAGGAAACTTTTCATGGCTGATCTCATCCATTTGTGGGTGGGGCCACTGGTTTCACAGAGTGACAGGTTTGATTTAAGAGCATGTCCTCCCTCAGCCTTTTAGGGTCTCCCAAAGCTGATCTGCTAAGTTACTTCATCAGCAATGCAAACACCCAGCTAGTGCACATTTGGTGACATGGAGTATTGTGTGGTTGCCTAGAATGACCCAGGGCCTCCACATACCCCAGTGTGTACTGAATATAAATGTGAGCAGTAATGTGCTCCCAAAGGTGGTATAGAAAAGGCCGCTCTTGGACAGATGCCTGAGGCAGTGACAAAGCCAGAGAAGGGGTGCTCTGGCTGCCTGGGAGAGCCAGACTGGCTGCATTGAGAGGGGGCCAGCTGAGCCAGGACAGGCCTGACTTGTTAGCAACAGAGGGCAGGATGTGCAAAGGCCTTAGGGCAGCCCAGCCCCTGACTTCTTTCTTGAGGTTCACAAATCCCCTAGGAGAGAGTCACTAAACTTCCAATTGTGAAAAAGTTATTTTATTTTTGAGCCCTTTATAATAAAAATGTTTTCAAGAGACTCAAAGTGTGGAGGTAGAGCTAGCACCTAGGTAAGTGGCCCAGTGTTATTTGACAAGTTGCTGTGCCCTTTTTCTGCTTTTAAAAAGGTTTTTTAATTTGCTTTTTCACTCAAAAGGGGGCAAGAGAAAAAAAGTGTCTCCTGTTTACCTGTGGGTTTTTGTTTCCCAAGACTGAAAATGGCCCCCAGACCCTGTCAAGCTCCTCATAGCCTGACCCCCAGGCTCTGGGTCCCCCAACCCCCACCCCAGGAGCACATGTAGTTTATACAGATTCTCCCTTGCAGCTGCTCAATGCTAGATTTCTCATTTGACGGCTCTGAGGAGTTCGATATTAACGCTTTTGAGGACATCATTGCTTTCTATGAAAGCAAGAAGTAAGTAGAAGCAAGGGCCTCGAACCCAAGACCAGGGAGGCACGCCAAGAGAAGCTGCCATCCCCAGGCGCTCAGCATGGCGTCTGGGGCCAGGAGAGAGGGGATCTCAAGCCAGGGATGCACCTGGGCCTGTGAGAGAGGAGCTTCTCTCACTAGATTTGGCCAGGTGAGGGAGGGTGTGGGCTGGAGCCTGAGCTCTTGTTCCTGAGCTCCAGCTGCTGCCCAGACGGCTGGGGGTGTGGAGGTGAAACATGACCCCCCTGTTGTCCTTGCTCTGTGCCTCCCTGGAGGGCGAGGGAGTGGAGGTAAGTACAGAGTCAGTGCTGGGCACGGTGCATGAAACAGAGATGAGGGGCTGCCGGTCGCGATCTCCCCAGGCCAGCTGCCTAGAGCTTAAACATGTATGTGAAATAATCAGAAAGAGAAGTTTAAAACAAAGACAGCACCCCAGAACCGCCTGTCTTATTCTGCTGTTGTTGCTACACGTTACTTCCAGAAATTCTATCAGAGACATTTTGGTTTTTGATCTTCATCTCTGAGCTGTTCTCATTCTTAGGGTAGGAAAGGCTGGGATTAAACCAAATGTTCAGGTCTGAATCCACAGCACTCGAACAAAATGAAGCTAGTGCGAATGGATTCTTTGAGGTAAACGACAAGGTTTTTTCATTCGGCTTAAGGACTATACTGTGCCCTTAAGGGAGCAGAGCAGCATCCCTGTGACCACCAGATTCCAGTAGCAAATCCCCCTACTCAGATGTAGTGAGTAAAAATATCTCCAGACATCCCCAAGCGTCCCCTAGTGGGGGATAGACAACAGCGCTGCCATTCAAGAACTCAGGGAATTCCATTTCATTCCTCCCTTGGCTCTTCTTGAAGCTGACAAGGAGGTTGACATGTGACCACAGCATCATTCAGAGAAATCAATTTGCTGCCTCCCACAGCAGCTCTCTGGCCTCTCTCTAGTCACCCTTTAATACATTTTACAGACCCCAAAAGGCTATTCCATAAAAGGTCTTTTTCAGTGATCTGAGCTGCCATATTGTAAATCTATTTGACCCAAAGTGGCCTTCCCCCTAAGAGGAGGCAGGATCACTTCCTTAGGGTGGGCAGCCAGGCATTTCTGGCCAAACCCATCATCTCAAGGTACAGGAAGGAGCGGCAGCAGCAAGTAGGGTCCCCCAGCTACATGTTTGGGCACCAGTGGCGTGGGGATAGTCCCGACCGTGCTGGGAACCCCTAGGTGGCGGGCCGCTGCTCTAACTCGGTCTTTTCTCTGTCACTGCACCCCTTCCCACCCCACTCTCAGTGATTTGCATGATCAAATCATCAGGAGCATCAAAGGATTGCCCTGGCAGGGCGAGGACCCCCGTAGGCTGCTCCAGTCCCTCAGTCGACTCCAGAAACCCCGCACCTTCATCCTGTGAGTCCCCGACCCTGCCCGGACTGCGGGCACACCTTTTTCCCCACAAGTGCAACGGCTGCCTCCCCTGCTACAGGACCCTGGCCCACGGGTTTCCTATAACGCTGAACCAGCCACTAGCAGTGCTGCACTGTCTGCGCCATGGCCCAAATCCCTGCCAGCCTCCCGACACCCTGCACAGCTTACTTAGCAGGAATGCACCTCCTACAAAGCATCTAATTTTCTGTGCCACCCCCCAACATGCAGAGCAAGGCTTGCTTCCCTCCCCACTCCAATGCTCTGCCACTATCAGCTTATAAAGTAGCCATGGGAAGTAGAGCATACGACTTCATGATTTTGCAAATTTTCATGTGACCTGTAGCTGTGTGGCCAGTAGAAAAGGCCCCAGAAGCCACAATCTGAGCTGGGACCTGGAGGCCCTCCCACCAACTGCCCACGTGACTGAGCCTTCTGAACGTTTGGCCTTCATTCAGCAAGCAAGGGGGATGGTTTTCAGACCTGCAACACTGTGCAGGCAGCAGGCTCAGCCACTGGGGCTCCAGCCAGCTGAGAGCAAAGCTTGTATCTGAGGCCACATCTGTTTCTGCTGGGCTTTATGCCACCCCATGGGAATTAAGATGCAACCTGACACATGGAGAGCTTCATGCCCAGTTTCTTGCACATCTGGGGGGTTGGGGGGGAGTTACTGTTTCCACAGCCAGCCTTTAAATGATCCAAGCTCCAATTTTTCTTCTTTCTTTTTTTTTTTTTTTTTTACTTTTGTCTGCAAGATTCCATGAAACATCTGATAATTGTGAGAGCCACCCCCTTGGCCAGTGCCAGTCTCCCAAGCACCAGGTGCTCCTACCAAGTTTCATTTGCCCATCAGGGCATCCAGAAAGTGCTACATGGACCTGCTTGGTGTTTTCCAACGTGTAGCCAACAGAACTTGGACACCTAATAGGGGTCCCTCAAAGTCTCAGAGCTCCATTGAGACATCCCACAGTCTTTTATTTATTTATTTTAAGATACAACAGTCTCCTTGTACCAGTCCTGCATAGTTGCACTCACTGCCCCGTAGATCATCTGCCAGATTTCCTCCTATTCCCAGGACACCCATGATCCCCAGATACTCCTCCCTCCTCGGGGACAGCCACTGGCTCAGAGCAGCAAGTGTGCACAAGCGGTAGTGGAAGCAGCTCAAGCCCACGTGGAGGGAGCCTGCCGGGTCCTTGAAGAGGCAGCAGCGGCCTCGTTGTACTTGTGCTTTCTAACTCTCCACTCTCGCTCACTCTAACCTGCAAGGCGTAGCTTGGTGAACTAACCCAGACACACATACCATCTTCCTTATGTTCACAAAACCATTTTTAATATTTTGACAGGAAAAGTAAAGGTATCAAACAAAAGCAGATCATTCCAAAGGTAAACATGCGCGACACCGTCCAGAATTTCCTTGTCTTCGCCTGCTGGAGAGCTCCTTGCTACAGTTGTTCCTGGAAAATGGGACAGGGGCTGCTGTTAATTTCTCACAATCCCTTCCCTGTCCCCTCCAAAAAATATTGCTTGTCAGTGATTTGTAGCTAACTCTGGGTTTCCTAGAAGCAGGGCCTATGACGGGGATAACAGCACAAGTAAGTGGTATTTTGAGAGGAGGCCCCAGGAGATTAGGCGGTGGTGGGGGAGCAGGGGTTGGGGGAGGACTGAGCAGAGAGGTAGGCTCAACCTCAACCCTGGGAGCATGAACAGCACCACAGATCTTGTCCTGCTCAGAAACCATGGGACCCTTCTCCTGCCCCACATCGGGATTCCCAGTTATAGGCCACCTCCAGGGCAGTGCAACAGGACACAGCACCTCCTCCCAGGCATGGTGATCCTATCAGGCAGGGGACAACTGCATTGTTGACAGCCAAGACCCCTGCCACCAGCCTTGGTCGAGTGTACCCAGGTCCTTTCTTTAGTCTCCATGCAAAGCATACAGATGAATTGTGAAGTTTACAGAAGAGCAAGAACAACTTCTCAGTCTGCTTGGCAGACTGGACAGTACTAGTTCCTGCTTTCAGCAGATAGTAATGGTTGGGGCCTACGAAAGGACCTGCTGGCCAGGCCCTTATGGGAAGACAGCACTCCAGAGCTCTTGGCTCCCAAGCACTTGGACTGCCAAAGAGGCTGTAATCAGGCCTCCTGGAGCTGGCATGATCTCAGGATGCAAACCAGAGTTGCTCTGGCTCCCTGCCCGGCCCACCTGGCTCTGCCCTTTGGCAACACCATCCTGAGACCAACCCTAAGAGATCCCAAGGGTATAGTCCTGGCTCTGGGGGCATCTATATCTACAGTGCTTCCCAATACCCGCAAGGCAGACCTCATGTTTCTGTCCTAGAACCTGCTGGACTCCAAATCCCTGAAGCTGATTATCAGCATGACCCTGCATGACCGTACCACCAAGTCCCTGCTGCACCTGCACAAGAAGAAGAAGCCACCCAGCATTAGTGCCCAGTTTCAGGTGGGTGGCCCAGAGAGGCAGGAGATGGAGCCAGACTTAGCCTGTCACTTACACTGTTTAACTAAAACAAACCCCACATGGAGACATTGTTATCCCAAGTCCCTAGCACTAGACATTTGAGGCTGGTCAGGGCCCTCCTGTGCATTGAGAGATGTTGAGCAGCATTCCTGACTTCCACCCACTGGATAGCAGTAGCACCCCCAATCACAACAATCAAAAATATCTCCAGGTAGGAGGGGAAAAAAAAAAATATCTCCAGGTATTGTCAAATGTTCCCATCAGCAGTCAAACCTGGCTGAGAACCAGTGAGTTAAAAGAATCATGGATTAATATGTTAGTTAACGGAACCACTAAGATGTGTCCCTTGGTCATATTTCTCCTTTTATCCTGGCTTTCAGGAAGCTCAGGGACACTTTTTTTAAGGGGGCCTAATAACTGCTGACCCTCACTTTTAACATTTTTTTTTTCTTCTTCAATCTGAATCTGCTGTTTCTGCCTTGACCTTTTTCATGATTAACTCGTATGGGAACTCCAACAAATCCTTTTTAGAAAACAGCAAGCCAGAGACCAAAATCACTGTATCTGTAGTCCTTTCTGAGGCTGATATGGTACTACTACCTTTTTTCCCCTACCTTCCTCCTGAGATGAACAAATGCTGTGACTGGGAAGAAGATAACTCTCAGCCACAAGAACTCTACCTGGAAAGCCTCCAGGGCAGCAAGGTCTTCAGTTAGCATATCCAACTGCATAGTCCTATGTCCCACATCAGCCAGATAGCCCTGCTGACATTGGTGGGTGACTCGGGTCCTCCTCCTAACTAGTGGCATGCCTCTGGGTGTCCCAGCTCATCACATCCTCTCTGTCTATCCAGACATCCCTTAATAAGCTCCTGGAGGCACTGGGGAAGGCAGAACCCTTCTTCATCCGCTGCATTCGCTCCAATGCCGAGAAGGTAAATGTCTCCCAAGTCTGAGGGCTATGGTTCAGCAGAGGGTATGTCCATGTGCCTATGCTCCTCAGTAGGGACCAGAAAAGACAAAAGAATCTGAGTGTTCATGCAAGTTCTGAAACTGCAGACAGTGTGCCATGGCTGGCCAGGGGTGGGGAGGTCAGCAGGAGGCAGTGAGGGCAGCCAGGAACAAGGACATCACTGGAATGTAAGGGGCCCCTGAGGGAGGTTTGCTTAAGGAGAAGTGCTCTTCAGCATATCCCACAAATGACCCATGCAGAGAATGTACCAGAAGGAAGTAGCTAAAGTCCTGCAGCTGAAGCACAGAGTTGCTGCTCCTCTGAAAGTTTCTGGAAAGACTGGCAAAACACCAGCAGGGGCCCTGAAGCCACCTCCAGGCTTCCTTCACCCCAGAGGGCCACTGGCCATATGGTCCCCTCAGGATGTTGCAGGGGGTGGGCTTGGGATCTGGGCATTGACCTCCAGGTGATTCTGTTCACCTACCCACCCCTTCATCTCTATTCTTCCCATATCCCTGCCTCTCCCATGCAAGGTTACCCTGCTAATATCCACAGCTTGACTCCTCTCTGTCCTCCCCTTGGCCTATTCCCTTCCCTCCATCCACTTCAAACACCACCCACCAATATGGAGTCCAGGCCCTTGAGCTCTAGGTTCAAGCCTACTGAGGCAGCCTCCCTTCCAGCCCCTCTAACAACAAGCATCTCCCTACATCCCTGCCAGCCCCATACTTCCCCATCCTCCTCAGGGCCTTCACCCAACTGCTTCCTACCTTCTGACCCCTGCTTATTCCCTCTTCCACCCTTAGGACATTGCCCAGAATCCCCTTTCCTCTGATATTTCCATGGGGACCCAGGAAGTACCCAATACACCATGACCCCTCAACTGGCTCCCCAGTACTTGTGGCAAGCCTGACACAGAACGTGAACTTGGCACCGATGTGGATTAGGTCCCTTATGAAATAACTCCTTGAAGCAAACTGTCTTAAGTTAGAGAGTAAGAGACAGCACCTGTTTACCAGACTCCAGGAATAGAATGATCAGATGCCAAGTTTTCCAGAAAAGACCAATACCTTGAGTATTGCTATTAGTGACCCTGTCTCGAATCTAAAAACCATGTTTGGAGCAAGAACAGACAGATCCTGCAGATGCCCCATGGCAGCCATTGTGGGGATGCCCCCATACCAGCTGAGTCCAGTGTGTGTGCCCTGGTGATGTCTATGTCCAAAATCATCAGGAACCTTGATCCCTGGCCACCACCACATAATTGTCTGGCCACGGGCACCTTCCCTGATTGCCCACATCCCATTTCAGAAAGAACTGCACTTTGACGAGGAGCTGGTGCTACAGCAGCTGCGCTACACAGGCATGCTGGAAACCGTGCGCATCCGCAGGTCGGGCTATAGCGCCAAGTACACATTCCAGGTAGGCTGTACACACCTGGCTTCCCATGCCTCCCCTTCTCGAGAAAGCACCTCTCTGGAACACAAACTCAGCAGGTTACTTTACACTAGGACTTTTCTACCCATGCACTATTGGCATCTGTGCTAGATGATTCTGATGTTGGGGGGAGAGTGGTAGCTGTTGCCAGAAGAGGTGGTTGGCCCCAGATCAAGCCTTGGGGGCTACAGAGGTTAAACCAAGCCAGAAAGAGAGAACATGTAACTGCCCTTTATAGGTCATCTTCTATAAGGGACACTTTTTTTTTTTAATATTTATTTTTGGTTTTGCATAGAAGAAATGGGGTGTAGGCCAGAGGTGCAGGAAGTGAGAGGATTCACCAGAGACAGAGTGGGGAGCAAAACAGGCAGATTTACTGAATTATGCTACTAAGGGGAGCAGTGGGCAAGACTCCTGTGCCATATGTGGGTTAGCTCCCTGGGTGGGGCTCGAACTCAAGCCATAGATATGATAGCTCTGAGACTTAACCCCTAGATCATCAGGGAGATCCTGTAGTGGGCACTTTTATACCCAACTCTTCTATCCTGCCAACTGGCAGCAAGGGGGCTCTGTTCTATCTTCCCAGTAGGAAAAGTGATGTCTCAAAACCAGTTACGTAAAAGTTGGTTTCTCAGTGCACATAAAAGTTATATCTACACAATACTTTTTCTATTAAGTGTCACTAGCATTATGTCTAAAAAAATAACATACCTGCCTTAAAGATACTTTATTGCTAAAAAGTGCTATCATCTGAACCTTCAGCGAGTGATATTTTTGCTGGTGGAGGGTCTTGTGAAAAACAGAAGCACAATATAGCAAGTTATGCCTGTACATCCACATCAAAACACATTTGGCTTTGGAAACTCAGCTTCACCAAGGGATTTGTTGAAGCCCTCCTGTCCTTTTCTGCAGTAGAAAACACTCAACAAGTTCTCCTTTCTTGGTCAAAATCATCCAGGATTTCACAGAGCAGTTCCAGGTCCTGCTGCCCAAGAACACGCAGCCCTGCAGGGAGGTCATCTCAGCCCTGTTGGAGAAGATGGACGTGGACAAGAGGAGCTACCAGATCGGGAAAACCAAGGTCAGTGCTTCTCTACCTCCCAGGTGACTGCAACTGGACATGAGCTGTGACATGAGCCACTCAATGAAAAACACCAGGCTCACCTGAGAAAATGTGTTTCTTGGGCCACACATGTTATTGTCCCCCAGAAGGCAAGGAGCCATCAGATCCCTGTCAGGGCTTCCCCAGGGGTCATCAACTGATAAAGGATGAATACACTGTGATCCATCCACACAGCGGACTATCACTCAGCCATAAAATAGTGAAACCCTGGTACATGCTACAACATGGATAAACTGAAAACATGTTTCTGAGTGAGAGAGCAAACACAAAAGGCCACACAGTATGTGATCCATGGATATGAAATGTCCAGAACAGGCAAATCCACTGACAGAAGGCAGATGAATGATTGTCAGGGACCCATCTAGGTTTGTATAATGACATTGGTGTTCCCACAGCAAATGATATTACCTACCGACATATCTCTCAGAACATATCCCCATGCTGAGCAATGTATGACTGTACACAACTCCCTTTGGTGTGGTCAGCTGATCTCACCCACTCCCTGGCAGGCTGTGCTAGCCTCCCGGAAACAGGGGCTCTGAGTGCCTGACTGATGCCTCCCATGCCCACACCCCCAGGTTTTCCTGAAGGAGACAGAACGGCAGGCCCTGCAGGAGACACTGCACCGGGAGGTGGTACGGAAGATCCTGCTCCTGCAGAGCTGGTTCCGGATGATGTTGGAGCGTAGGCACTTCCTGCAGATGAGGCGGGCAGCAGTCACCATCCAGGTACTGGCTTAGACCCCAAGGACTGAACCAGGCATGAGGGTGGCTGGGGTAGCACCCCCAGTCTCTTAACACCTACTCCTCCTCAGGCCTGCTGGCGATCCTACCGCGTCCGACGGGCGCTGGAAAGAACACAAGCAGCTGTATATATACAGGCCGCATGGCGGGGCTACCAGCAGCGGGTAGCTTATCAACACCAGAGACAGAGCATCATCCGTCTGCAGAGCCTCTGCCGGGGGCACCTGCAGCGCAAGAGGTGAGCAGAGAAGGCCTACCACCCGGAACGATCTAGAGGACAGTATGTTCATTTACCCAGGAGCTACCTGGAATACCATTAAACCTGTAACACTGCCAGGATGCTGTACTGGAAACTGGAGAGGAGCTTTTTGGAACCCCACTGTCTGGGCACATGAAGCCCCAGAGAGACAGTGTGGAGCTAATGGGCATCACCAGGAACACCCCCACCCCTGCAGCTGCCTGCCCAGGTTGATCATGCAGCAACTGCAATAGGCTTCCCTCCCCCCCCATACTCACATGTGGACCCTGGGTATCTTTCAGGCCATATGACCTCCATGGGACATTAGCTACCCACAGTCAAAAGCCTCCAAGAGAGGGGCCTCCCTGGTGGCACAAGGTGTCAGCACAGCACTGTGAAGCTATCCACAGCAAGAATTCAATCCCCAGACAGGGAGCTGCTCACATGGCACAACAGACCTCTCCTGTCTTGCCCGCTACTCCCCTCAGCAGCGCATTTCAGCCAACCTGCCTGTTCTGTTCCCCACTCTGTCTCTGGTGAATCCTCTCACAACCCCCCCCCCCCACACACACACACACACACCTCTGGCCTGTACCCCAGCTCTTGTATGCATAAACAAACATCTTTAAAAAAAAAAACCCTAGGGGAGAATTCCAGTGGACCCCAAAGGAATTCGGGGGTCTTTAACAGATCTCACCCACAACAGTCCTAACCAAGATGACTCTGAACCAGTTGGCCCAGCCATGACCACAAGAACCACCCCTACATCCCCCTTAGTTGACTGAGGAGATTCCACCTTTCCATTTCTTTGGAGCCCCCAACCTTGGGCTGCCTGGGGGTCTCATCAGAACATGGCTCAGAGATCCCAATATCCTGGTGGATGTGGGGGCAGCATGCATATTGGTTTCTGAACCTGAATCCTTTTTCCCACAGCTTTAGCCAAATGGTCATGGAGAAACAGAAGGCTGAAGAAAAGGAGAGGGAAACCGAGCAAGCCTCAAAGGAAGAGGCCACAGAGGCAGGGCCAGGCCCAGAGCCATCGGTGGACAGTGAGCATGCAACATTGTCATCTGAGGCGTGGCCAAGTGACAGGCCTCCTGCCCAGAGTTCCCAACAGGAGAACGAGGTCTCGAACCCTGAGAAGACCCTCCCACCCCTCAAAAATGCAGCTGAAAGTCATGAGAAAGTACCAAGCAGCCGGGAGAAGCGGGAGTCTCGGCGGCAGAGAGGGCTGGAGCATGTGAAGTTCCAGAACAAACACATCCAGTCATGCAAGGAGGAGAATACCCTCAGAGAACCTTCTGAAACTGACATCCTGGAACCAGAGGAGAGCCTCCCAGAAGACAGAAAGGATAGCAGAGAAGATGAAAGTCCTTCAGACAGAGGGATGGAAACAGAGAAGTCTTCAGTAAAGCAGCCGTCAGAGCTACTACAGGCATCCCCAACCAGCCAGGCATCTGGAGAAACACCAAAAGTGCCCCAGGAGCGGCCCACCAGCCTGGTCCTAGACAGTAAGGTCTGTGTACAGGCCCTCAGCACAAGCCTCGAGACCCCCAAGGACAAGGGCAACAAGACAGACGGCAGCCCAAAGACTCAGGATCGGCCTGAGAGCCCATGTGGCTCTACCCAGATCCAGCGGTACCGGGACACGGACACCGAGCGGCTGGCCAGCGCCGTGGAGTTGTGGCGGGGCAAGAAGCTGATGGCCTCTGGCCCCAGCACCATGCTGAGCCAGTCCTTGGACCTCACTGAGCGGCACCGGGCCATTGGGGCCACACTCACACCCACAGAGTAAGACCTGAGCCTCCTTTGTTTGAGTGCCGGGGGCACCAGGCCAGGACAGGCAGTATTGGGTCAGTGCAAAAAACACTTGAGCAGCCCCATGCCCAAAAGCTGACCCCTGGTATGTGGGAGTCCTGAGGAAGGAAGGTGAAGGGAGTGATAAAAGGCTTGGTGAGAGGAGGCAGCTGCCCAGCTGGGGCCTGTTGTCACCTACGCATGCCCCACCAAAATTTAGCCATGTTCACACAGAAAGCCCCCAACCTATGGGAGGCGACCTCTCAGATTGAGGTCCCAGATCCCAACAGGGCATCAATTTTCTCATCAAGGAACAGGGTGATTTACCCAGGAAGTAAAGGGCAGCTCTTGACACATCTGGCCCTTAATCAGCTAGACATGGTGACTGACTCTCCAACCCCTCATTGAGTGACTGGAGAAGAGTTAGAAGTAGATACAGGCCTTTACCTGGGCAGGCTTTCTCACCTATGGCACTGCTTGGACCAGCTGCTCTCTAGGTGGGGCCATACCAGCACTCTGGGGTGCAGCACAACATCCTTAGCTTCCACCCACCTGGTGCCAAAGCACCTTTTCTTTCTTTTCTTTTCTTTTTTTTTTAAAGATTTATTTATTTATTATTTATACAAGCACTGGGTACAGTCAGAAGTGTGGGAGGGTGAGAGAATTCACCAGAGCCAGAGCGGGGAGCAGAGCAGGCAGAAGGACCGAAGTACACTGCTGAGGGGAGCAGCGGGCGGCAGGAGAGGTCTGCGCGCCATGTGGGACCCTCCTCCGGTGGCCAGAGAGCAGCCGGGAATCGAACTGGCGCTGCAGAGGCTGCGGGCAGCTTCGCAACCCAGCGCCCAACCGCTGCGCCACCGGGGAGGCCCCCAAAGCACCTTTTCAACCCCCACTCACGGTAACCAACAGTCACTCCTAACTTGCTCTGGTCCATACAAGCCACATTTCTGTGACCCCACAGGGAGAGACGAATTTCCTTATCGACAAGCGACGTCTACAAGCTCCTCACATCCCCATCCCAGGCCAGGACTCAGGTAAAGCTTCAGGTTGCAGCAGTGACCCTCAGGGTCTGAGCCCCTCTTCTGGGGTCCCCACAGGCTGCTCCCAAAAGGCCATTCGAGAGAGAAGGGCGGTGGGTGAACAGATCACATAGTGATCTTTGTTCAACTGCCCTATTCTCCTGCAGCCTCCAACAGAAACCACAGATGGGGAGCCCAGCACTAAGAAACTAGCCGTGCAGAAGAAGAAATCAAGTGACACTGCCACCAGCACCGACACAGGACTGTCCCCAGGCACCCAGGCCGACTCTAAGTAAGTATAGGACATGGGGATGGACTCAGCCACCAGTGGACATGTAGGGTCCCTGCCAATGAGTCTGGGAGCTGTTGGGTCTCCTAAAGCAATCACCTTCACGAACACAGGCAGATATTTGCTCCACAGCGATCCTGTGAGGAGAGACCCAGACAGAGCCCAGGCTGTGACCATACTGCACAGAATGATTCCCACTAAAATCTGGAGCCAACTGGGTCATCTCCTCTCGGGCTTTTTATATAACCGAAACCAACTCCCAACTCCCCCATTCTTGAATCTGAGAACCACTCCCTGGGTCCTCAGATAGAAAAAAATTAGGCCAAGGCTCTGTCGCCAGAAAGCCCCTGCAGAAGTAATCCAGATGGTTGCATCACAGAGCAGAGAGGAGGAGACAGGGGACATGGATCTGAACACAGGAACAGGAGGCTGAGGACGGTGTGGAATGCACTGTGGCAGGAGATGGAGAACCTCCCACTGCAGGGACACCCCACCCCAGTAACTAACTAGGTAACTGAGGCACAAACCAAATGACTTCAAACAACAGGAATTCACTCTGTCGCAGATCTAGGGCCAGAAGTCTGAAGTCAAGTGTCGTGGGGTTGTGTTCCTTCCCAAGACCCTAGGGAAGGGTCCTTCCTGCCTCTTCCAATTCTGGAGGCCCCAGGTGTCCTTAGCTTGTGACCACATCACCCCAGTCTCTGCTTCCTTTTCACATGACTTCTCTTTTCTGGTCTACTGTTTTTCTCAAAGACTCTTGTCATTGCATTGCTATTATCATCCAGGTGATCCAGAATAATCTCATCTCCAGATCCTTACCTTAGTATATTAGTCTGTTATGGCCGCTATAACAAAACACAGTCACCCCACTTAACATTGCAGTCAACGAGGGACCACATATACAGTTGGCTGTGCCACCCAGTCTGGGTGTGTAGTAGGTGGTGTCACCTGAGTCTGTGTAATTACACTCCATTATAGCCGCTTGACAACAAAATCACCTAATGATGCACTTCCCTGTTGTTCAGTGGCAAATGATTATATCTGCCTGAGCAGCTTAAACAACAGACATTTAATTTTCACAGTTGTGGAGGCTGGAAGTTTGAGCTCAAGGTGCCAGCAGATCTGATATCTGGTGGGGACTCATCCTTCACGATTCATCTTTTCTAATCACCTCCCAAAGGACCCACCTTATAATACCATCACACCTTATAATACCAATACCACTTATAATACCATGAGGCTTCAGTGTGACAATTTGGGGGACATATACTCACACCATTCGCTAAGACCCCTTTCCCAAATAAGTCACCCTGCTAGACCCTTAGGGTTAGCACATGAACATGTCTTAGGAAGCTACTATTTGGCCCTCTACATACCTAGTAATTCAGTGCAAGATGTGGCATCGTCTGATATTTTTCCTAACCTTGTGGCTATAGAAATGTGAATGGGGTGAGCAGGGTAGGCAGGAGGTAGCTTTGTTTTATTTTCACATGAAAATGGGATCACACTGGGACATCACTCAACATCCTGCTTTCTCACCTGATATCCCCCATCAGTTCACATAAATTGACCCAATTTTTAGTAACATCCATTCCAATGATAACACAGAAAAGTTTTTTTCTCTCTTTACAGTAAAATAAATCTCATGTCCATTTTCACTTTCTGAGGCTTAAACAGAATCCCTTACTTTCCTCTCCAGATCCACATTTAAGAGACTTTTCCTGCATAAGAAAGATAAGAAATACAGCCTGGAGGGTGCAGAAGAGATAGAGAATGCGGTGACAGGGAATGTTGTGCCTGAAGCCACCACCATAAAGAAGAATCTAGAAGGTTGGCAGTCCACAGGATGGACAGCAGAGCCATGTGGACCCCCAGGGATGTGGATGGTCCCAGTGGGGCCTTGAGTTGGCCATGGGCCTAATCTGGGTGCAGAGTTTCAGGGCTGGTCTCAGCCACCCAGGTGGCAGTGTGGGGTCTTGGTTCTTGGTACTTTATAGTGCCCCCCACCCAGGAACCCACCCTTGACAGCTGCTACTTGTCCTCCTCAGCCCCCTCTGGCCACCAGCACTGCCAGGCAGGCGAGAAGCCCAGCAAGGAGCCAGGAGGTAAAGGGAAAAAGAACCGAAACCTCAAGATCGGCAAAATCACGGTATCAGAGAAGTGGCGGGAGTCGGTGTTCCGCAAGATCACCAACGCCAATGAGCTCAAGTTCCTGGATGAGTTCCTGCTCAACAAGGTGGGCCAGGACCCAAGCAGAGGCCAGAAGTGGGTACGGGCTAGGGGCCCCAAGCAGGGTCTGACCTGGGCCTCTCCTGAAGGGCCATCACCACTTGCCAGTTTTCCAAACTGCCATCCTTTAGTGGGCCAGGAACAGGAAGTGCAGGTCCACAGTCTAAGATGCAGAAAGTTCCAGAAACCAAACCCTTGTCCCTTAGTTTGTGATAAGCTCATTTCTGCAAATCCAGCCTAGGCTCATGTGGGATGCTTTGTAACCTATATCCACCTTGCTTGGAGTAAATGCTCATATTTTGCTGCAAAATGTAATGGGTCTTTTTCCCAGGACTGTGCAAAATGTGTGGGACCGTGTTAAACTTGAACTCGGATTCAGATTCTGGGATATGCCCGTCCTGAGGACTTTGGGCAAGGCCAAAGTCCTCTGATGGATGTGTGCACATGGATCGGGTGCCCCTCAGAGTTCTTTACGCCCACCTTTTCACACACAGGATCCAGAATGATCCTCCAGGCACACCAAGTCCCACCAGGTTTCCTTAAGGTCCTATGACCTCACCTTGTCCCACCACTCAACATAGCTGTGAACAACTTCTTTCATTGAGGATCCACTTTTACAGAACACATTGGGTATCGCTGTAGACACTGAGCACTTATGTTATGCAGTGGGGCCAAGAATTAGGGTGTTCAAGGCCATGGCATTCCCGCAGCAGACAGAGCAGCATTTGGGGATCTCTGCTCTGGGCCATTGGGGCTGTTAGGGTTGCTGAAAGGTCAAGGACCCTGTGAAGGATGGAGGCATCCTGAAACAACCAGGCCCTCGGGGCAGCCCAGGTCTTAGAGCATGGTCAGGCAGCAGGAAGGGCATAACTGCTAAGCCAGCCTCTCAGTCGAATCTGGCCTCAGGGACACTTGACAGCATCTGCAGGTGTGTTTCTGGGTGGCAGGACTTTTGGTGCTACTGGCATATCATAGGTAGAGCTGGTGGTGGTGTTCAGCATCCTATGGCAAGTGATCCAGCCTTGCACCCCAATACCTTCACCTGGGCTGAAGGCGTGAGAGGGACCAGTGTTAGCTGAAGGGCCTGGATTCTTTCCTGTGAGCCCAGGGGAGCAAGGACAGGACTTTGGACAGGGCAGAGGAGTGAGTATTCAGAGGCCCAGCTCAAGGCAGTGAAGGGTCAATGCGTCTTTTCCTCCTTGTTTCTCCAGATAAACGATCTGCGTTCTCAAAAGACCCCCATCGAGAACTTGTTCATTGAAGCTACCGAGAAGTTCAGGAGCAACCTGAAAACCATGTACTCTGTCCCTGTACGCACAGCCCCCACCCCAGGGAAGACCCATAGTCCCCATCTATATGTCTTCCCTTGGGTCACTGCTTGCATTCCCACAGAATGGGAAGATCCATGTGGGCTACAAGGACCTGATGGAGAACTACCAGATTGTGGTGAGCAACCTGGCAGCCGAGCATGGTGAGAAAGACACCAACCTGGTCCTCAACCTCTTCCAATCGTTGCTGGACGAGTTTACCCGAGGACACAGCAAGAGTGATTTTGAGCTGCCCAAGGTGTGTGGTGCCATCCAGTGAGGGGGTCCTGCCACTGGGGTCCCCTATGGCATGGGGGCCAACTGGGGTGGGGTGTACCCAGGCGTTCATGTGGACCTCATCTTTGTGCTCCTTTACAGCAGAGCAAAGCTCAGAAGAAGAAGCGGAAGCAGGAACGCGCTGTGAGTATATGTGTGCATGAGTGTGAATGAGTGTGCGAGTGTGTGCAGTCATGCATTTGAGTCCGTGTGAATGTGGGGCATATATGTGTGTGTGCCTGTGACCATGCATACATGTATGTAAGAATGCATGCATGAGTGTGTGTGCAAGCACACACGTACGTGAGTGCATCTCTCTGAATAAATATGGACATGGGGACATGTGAGCAAGTTTCCCTGCCCACCCTGAGGAATCCTAGTCATGAAAGAGCAGCCCCAGCCCTGAGATGCCGCATCTCAGGATGCGGCATCCACTATGGGTGACGCCACAGGGGATCCGGCTCAGTGTTCATTGCCCCCCCCCCCCATGACCCAGGTCCAGCAGCACAACGGGCACGTGTTCGTCAGCTACCAGGTGAGCATCCCGCAGTCCTGTGAGCTGTGCCTCTCCTACATCTGGCTCATGGACAAGGCTCTGCTCTGCAGTTGTGAGTATACCTTGCCCACCATGCTCCCTAACCCCCTACCACACTCCCCCAAACCCCTGGATGCCTCACTTACCCTGAAACCCTCTAACTTTCCACAAAATCCCTGGATCCCCATGCTCCCTGAAATCCCACTGCCACACCCCTGACCCGCTCCCACATTTCCACAGCCACATCTCCCCTGCTCAGACCCCTCACCATCAACCTGGAGTAGAGCCAGTTCTCACTGGCCATGGTCACACACCCACCTGGGCAGGCAGGACCCCAGGTGGTAGCTCTGGGTCTTTGTAAACACTGCTCCTCCTATCTGACCTGCTAGGCCCTCCCTCAAGTGCCAGGTGAGACCAGTCAGTTGCATAGGGTCCTCAAAAGACAGGATGATGGAGGTGGCCCACAGTCACATGTCTGGGAGGTGACCAAACCAAGACAGGACCCCTGTCAAACCCCCCGGGTCTCTGGCAATGTATTTCCTGCCATGACCAGCCAAGCCTAACTTTTTAGCCCAAGTTCTCCCATCTCCTTGGTCCCTGTATAAAAAGCTACCTACCACACCACTGTTTCATAAATACCAGGCATTTGCCTCTGCCCTGAGACAAGGACACCAATGCTGCCACCTGGTGTGACCGAGGCTCTGGTCCCCCAAATCCCACTGGTCCTTCTTATCCCACTGGCCTGGGAGGTCACTGATAGTTACCAGCTGTGGACATTTACCCATATGGCTTCCTCACCTGGGAACCAGAGCAGAGATTTGTGTGGCTCAAATTTAGAAGCTGGTCAGGGAACCCTGGCCATTGGGGTGGGCAGCCTCAGGAACCTGGGATTCCCGATGCATCCTCTGTGACACTCCCTCCTCCCCGTAACTTCCTAGTGTGCAAGATGACGTGCCACAAGAAGTGCATGCACAAGATCCAGAGTTACTGTACCCACATGTCCCGCAATAAGGTGAGCCCACCTTAGGCAGTCCGGAGCCTTCCAGGATGACACTGTCCAGATAGAGGAAGCATCCTAAGAGATGGCAGGAGAGGGTGTTGTCCTTTGTACAGGGACCAAATCATCCTAAGAGATAGCAGCAGGGGGGAGCTAACAAGAGGGTTGAACCTGGTCCTCTCTCCTCCTAGATGGGGGATGCCCCTCCAACTCTGTCCATGAGGGAGGCAGGGTCCCAAGTGGTGGGGCTGGCGTATGAAATAAAACTGACTGCTTTGAAGGAACCATGAGTGCTCCATATAGGGAGCCTCTGCTGGCAGCTGTTGGACTGACCTGTGTGCCCCGCTGACCCCAGTAGCTGTGCAAGGAAGGACAAGGGGTGACTGGGAAGGACAGTAGCCCAGGCCTGACCTACATTCCAGGCATTGCAGAGCGAGCCAGGTGCTGAACCAGGCCACTTTGGCGTGTGCGTGGACAGCCTGACTAGTGACAAGGCCTCGGTGCCTGTTGTGCTGGAGAAACTTCTGGAACATGTGGAGATGCACGGCCTGTACACAGAAGGCCTCTACCGCAAGTCGGGTGCTACACACCGCATACGGGAGCTTCGGAAGGCACTGCAGGCAGGTGAGTCTGGTGAGGTAGGAGGCCTGTGGACAGGGAAATGAAGGGTGGGCAGTTTCCACAGGGAGAGGGCCTGAGGACAGGTGGGTCTGGAAGGCAGGTAGGTGCTATGGCAGCTCCAAGCACAGCCTTTCCACCTGCTCCACATTTACCGGTCCCGCCTGCCCTTCCCATAGACCCTGCAGCTGTCAAGCTAGAGAACTTCCCCATCCATGCCATCACTGGGGTGTTGAAGCTGTGGCTCCGGGAGCTGCCTGAGCCCCTTATGACCTTCGCCCAATATGGCGACTTCCTCCATGCTGTTGGTGAGTCTCATGTGGGCGGATGACTGAGATAGGGGTATAGAGCACCAAGTGCTTGCTGTGACCAGCCAGGGAGGCGAGACCACCCTGTCATCATCGAGAAACTGATCCTCGAAGTGGCCAGCTGACCTTGAGTCCCAGTCCTGGGGTGGGTGGCCTAGGGCCCTTGGAGAACTGATGCCCTGGGCCCTCCTAGAGCTACCAGAGAAGCAGGAGCAACTGGCTGCCATCTATGCCGTCCTGGAGCACCTGCCTGAAGCCAACCACAACTCCCTGGAACGGCTCATCTTCCACCTGGTCAAGCAAGTGCCCCGCCCCCCTCCCCTCCCCTGCCACCCACTCTGTGGGTTGGGGTCCCCGGGCCAGCATTCTCTGATGGTCCTACACCAGAATGTTGACCTGTGTTGGCAAGTCAGGCACCTTTGGCTGCAGAATCGGGCATTTCCCTCTTCCCAGTTGTACGACCCTCTCCCACAGCCACCCAGAGCTCAGAATCCCTGGCCCCCGGCCACTCTTAACTACAGCCTTAACTGCAGGGTGGCCCTGCTGGAGGATGTGAACCGCATGTCACCCAATGCACTGGCCATCGTCTTTGCACCCTGCCTTCTGCGCTGCCCTGACAACTCGGACCCACTGAACAGCATGAAGGACGTCCTCAAGATTACCACGTGAGTATCTCGTTACGACATGTGATGGCAGGATGAAAAAGGATTACTCAGAGTCCATGCGCAGTACAGTATGAGAAACCTAGAGGGACTACACCACAGAGGTGCAGCCCAGCTCCAAGGGCAGTCTCGTTTTTATTTAGAATTAAGCAGATGATTAAAAAAAAGATCAAAGAAGCAGGCAAACAGGGAATGCACAAGTGTGTGGGGGACATGTAACCATCTGGCCCCAGCCAAGCCTGGGAAATCAGGGAGACAGTCATGAGAAGGCTCAGTGTTTTTGCTATTCTAACCATAACATCTATTGCTGTTTTCAGCATGTATAGATCCTCATACCAGGACTTTTGCCCTGAGAGGTTCCTTATCTCAAACTTTCCCTGTTCATATTCTGGATGAAAAGCACAGAATAGTCAAGACAGAATAATCAAGGCAAAGACGCAGAACAGTTGAGGCACAGAATAATCAAAGTTCCCACACATTTGGGGCCCCTACCCCCAATATGCTCAGCTGCCCAGGAAGGAGCCCCACAACCAATCAAGAGTTCTGGAACCCAGCAATGCCATAGTCCAGGCCATGTGTACATGTGGCCACAGAAAGATCAGAGAGAACAACTGGAAGCCAGCGTAGCTGGAGGCAGCCCTGAGTCCAGAGGTCCTGAGTGGACTTTGGTCACTTGGGTCTCTGCCCATCTTGCTCTCCTGACCTGTTCTAATAAGCACTTGCAACTTTTGCAGTGAAACAGAAGTGCTGGCAGAGGTGGTGTGTTAGGCATGCAGGCTGCTGTGATGGGGAGAGCTCCCCTCAAAACGGAGGGGGAGACATAGCCCCAGCCTTGCCTAGCATCATGGGTTTATGCGCTGCCAGTAGCCATGTATCAGCATCTCTTCAGCAGCAAAGGCATCACTTCCAAGTTCTTTGAGGCCAAAGAACCAAACGAGGAGAAAACCCTCACCCCTCATCTCAGGGAGAGTGGCAGAGGGTGAAGCCCAGTATTTCTGCCTCTGGTGGCTAAGAAGAGCCAGCGGTAAATAGAAATAGGTTTATCAAGGCTTCTTCTTGCTCCCCAGCTAGCTTCAAACATCCTTAAAAATCTCAGGCATTTTCAGACATCAGTCACTAAAGGACATCATTTAGGTGACAATTGTAAAAATAAGAGCCTGAAAACACGTTCCCCCAGCCACGCTAGTTATGGTTAATATGCAGTGACAAGCAGTGAGAAGAGCCTGCGGTAGCCCTGACGGTGGCATGGTGTTGACAGACTTTTCTTCCAGCCTCTTCTAGCACATTCTGTGGTTTTTGACTTTTGTTTCCCTCCTCCCAGTTGTGCGACCCTCTCCCCACAGCCACCCAGAGCTCAGAATTCCTGAACCCTTGTTTGTTTGTTTGTTTGTTTTGTTTTACATTTTAAAAGAACTGGTTTATTTAGAAAAGGGAAAATAGAGAGGCACCTGCTTAATCACAAGCGGGCATGAGAGCTGCCTGGTTCTTAATGCTGCCTGCTGATGGGAACCTTGAGTCATGGCTGACTCCCCCAGTGCTGACTCCAGGCTGCGTCTCTCCATTACTGACCCCAGCAGACCAGTTCTCTCCATTACTGACTACTCCATTGGGTCCCTCTCCTAGTACTTACCATTCAGGGCTGCTTCTCCCAGTACTGACCACTCAGGCTGGCCCTGAGCAACATGCCACAGGTCTCAGCAAACCTTCAAAAGTCCTTGTGGCCAGCTACCTGCTGCCCCTGGACAAACTGCCTAGCCTAACCTCTGTAAGGCAGGGTAATCCCACCCTGCAGGGTGGCAGTGAGGGGCCAATTCACTCTTACCCACCGTTACTGTATTTCTTCTTTCAAACAAGGAGGCTCCTAGCATTGAGGACTCAGGCTCAGAGAGGTAGAGTGAGCTGCCCGAGGTCACCCAAGTAAATGTGCCAAGATGGAAGCCACTGTCATGTCCCTGGCCCTGCTTGGTCTTTGGTCTCTACCCAGGCCACCATTGCCCTGGTGTCCCTAGACTCTGGCGCCCAAATCAGCCATCCAAGAGTAGTCAATGACTGGCCCCTCTATGGGTCTTTTCCACAGATGTGTGGAGATGCTGATCAAGGAACAGATGAGGAAATACAAGGTGAAGATGGAGGAGATCAGTCAGCTAGAGGCTGCTGAGAGCATAGCCTTCCGCCGACTCTCCCTGCTGCGACAAAATACTGTGAGCACTTGGGGGTGGGGTGGGGTGGGCTCTGTGGGGATGGACAGGGCTGCACGAGTGGGTGGAACCTCAGGAAGTGATCTGGGAGCCGGGTGTCACATCTCGACTCCACAGGCTCTTGGCCACAGGCAGTGTGGGCAGGAGCCTCATGGCAGCATACTTGATGGCGAAATCCTTGCCTTGGCCAAATGACCACCATCCTTATTGAGCCTCATGCCAGCTGTCCCTCTCAATGGGTAGTGGAGGCCTATGACCCCCTTGGTAGTAGTAGTTTGGGTCATCCTCCATTCCCAGCCCTTATGGTGGGGGCTGGGGGAGAAAGGGGTGTTGGTCCTGGGCCCCCATGGGAGGACCCTGTCCTTGGGCATACATGGTGCAGGGTACCGTGTCGTAGTTGTGACCTGCTGTGATTCATCTCTCCCCCAGCCATGGCCTCTCAAACTGGGGTTTTCGTCTCCCTATGAGGGGGTCATGGTATGTACACATAACAGTGGGCTCACCCTGCAGGTCTCCTGGTGCGGTGCATGATGGGGTTCCCTTGGCCCCCCATGGGTCCTTGTAGGATAAAGGAAGCATGTCCTAACTTTCTGAAAATGCATGCTGGGAGAGGCCTATTGCCTGCTGACCACCTGTGCTGAAAACAACTAATCAACCAAGCGCTGGCCACTCAGTCCCTGTGGGATCCCTGGAGAAGCCTCACTTGTCCACATCCGAACTAACCTCCCCTGGAGCTGTTCATGCACCCCCTGTGGACCTGTGAACACTAACCCTCACCTGCCCAGGGGCACTGGCTAGACTTGTTCCACTTCTCTGTTTCAGAACAAGAGCGCCAAGACCCAAGCAAGCAGCAGTGGCAGTGGCCCAGAGGAGCTGGAGGTGCTACCAGAGGAGGAGGTAGCCGGCGGTGATGAGGACCGCGAGAAAGAGATCCTCATCGAGCGAATCCAGTCCATCAAGGAGGAGAAGCAAGTATCCCCCTATTCTCCACCCACCTTTGTTTGTGCCAGCTGACCCCATCCACTGCCCCCTCCCCATCCCCGCCCAAGGGACATAGCTGTTAGAGGGCTGGCTGACTAGGTTCAGTCCTGGCATCCAGTACCCACCTTGCAGGGTGCTGCTGTCCTGAAATTCTACCACAAAGGCTTTTAGTAGACTGTGCTTAAATTCCATGCTTGACCACAGGGAGCCACAGTATCCCTCCTGGCCTGGTACTTTCATGAGGTAGGGTTTCACTATGAGACATCCTTGGACATCTTGATGCCCTCACTCCCAGGGAGGATATCACCTACCGGCTGCCAGAGTTGGACCCTCGGGGCTCCGATGAGGAAAACCTGGACTCAGAGACCTCAGCCAGCACCGAGAGCCTGCTGGAGGATCGGGCTGGGCGGGGGGCCTCGGAAGGTCAGTATTAAGGTAGCGTCTGCTTTTTTCCTTCCTGTGTCCATCCCCTGGCAGGCCCCAGGGCAAGGGTCCATCTGCTGGTCCTGAAGCTGCAGTAACCCTGCCATCTATCTCTCAAAAGGGCCCCCCGCATCTGTTGTCCCCTGCCCCAGTGCGCCCACCCTGAGCCCCCTCCCCGTGGCGGCTACCCCTCCGAGACGAAGGCCGTCATCTTTCGCGACGGTCAGAGTGAAGACCCCCCGGCGGACCCCCATCATGCCCACGGCCAACATCAAGATCCCACCCGGCCTGACTTCCCACCTCCCTGGCTGGGTGCCAGGCACCCAGGAGGCTGCTTCCCCCGTGAGGCGCCGAGAGCCACCTGCCCGCCGCCCAGACCAGGTACACTCTGTGTATATCACACCGGGTACTCACCTGCCGATGCAGGGCATCCTGGAGCCCCTGGACGAGGACAACCAGCCACCTGGGGCCAAGCGGAGGTACTCAGACCCCCCAACCTACAGCCTGCCCCCCACCTCGGGCCAAACCAATGGCTGAGGGCCCACAGCTGTCAGAGTCCACACATTCAGTGACCTGGTGCCAGAGCTGGGTGCCAGAGCTCCAGATCCAGCATTCGGCTCGCCGAGAAGGACCCGGTATGCAAGTGGCAAAAGCAATGAGAGGTGGACACCAGCTCCAACCAGAGTCCAGGCAGAGAGAGCTGTCCTCAGCCAGGCCACCCTTGTTGAGCCCCCCCACGTCGCACAGACATGCCTGCCCAGAGCGTGAATCACAGCAGGCGGTCTGGCATCTCCCACCTCCCCTTTTATATGTTTTCGTAACTTCCTTTGTGTGTGGTTTACATAACTTTAAACTGTAACAGCCTTAACAGACCAAATTGTTTTTTATATGTGCCTGTACAAACTTTTATATTAACGTCCTGCATTTCCCTTATATCCTGGACATGAATTTCAGAGCAAAGCCCACATAGCTGGCACAATTTGGAGACTTAGACCTGTGCTGTGGGTTACTCTGTGGGGGCGATCCTCAGGTTAGGACCCTACATATGGGCTTTGAACATCTGGCCAGCAGCTACCTGGCCAACATATCTTCAAGGGACCAATGGGCCCTTCTCTGGGGACCAAGGCTTTTGGCTGGAGCCAGGACACAAGGCGGGAGCCAGCTGCCACCTGGGGCACCACAGACCTCGCATCCCAGGGAATCTCAAGTGTGGCCCTCGCTTCTCAGTCCACTATGCCCTGGACATGGGACACTGCCCTCAGCACTGCCTGCCTTATGTGGCAGAACAGGAGTTGATGCTCAGGACTCCACCCAGTGTGAAAAAAAAACTGTCGTTGGACTTCTTTACAGAGACGCCACCCAGTGTGTAAAACAAGACTGTCATCGGGGGTGGGGGGGACCTCCCTGGTGGTGCAAGGGGTTAAGCACCGCACTGTGAGGCAATCCGCAGCTTCTGCAGCACAGAGTTCGATCCCCTGCCGGCCAGGGAGCTACCCACATGGCACAGCAGACCTCTCCTATCTCACCCACTGCTCCCCTCAGCAGTGTCTTTCAGTCAGTCCACCTGTTCCGTGCCCTGCTCTGTCTTTGGTGAATCCTCTCACCCTCCCCGCTGCCCCCCCCCGCCACCCCACTCCCCCGCATCTCTGGCCTGTTCTTGTATGCATTAAAGAAAAAAAAAAAAAAAAACACGTTTCATCGCACTTCTCCACGGAGACGGCACTAAAACAAAGCTCATCATTGGACTTTGCTACGGATAATGGAAAGGTTCCAGAGTGGGGATCCCCTCTCTCAGGCTCAGCCCACCCAGACATGTCTGGGATGAGGGGCACCCCACAAACCATGTGAAATAAAAAGTGCCTAAGAGGTGTTTGCATGCAATTATTTTTTCACATTAGCTTGGGGGCCAGTAGAGAGGTGATATAATCAGCCACGTGGAGCACAGGTTTGGGAATGGTTGTGCCCCTTGTCAGGAGACTCCATCTAAGTCCTCCAGTAAGCCTGCCATTGGAATTTCATGCAAACATATTCCTACAACCAAGGTGGCAGGCTTCCTGGGGGTATTTGTTTATTGATCCAGAAAAATGGGGGAGCAGAGAGTTCCTGGGAAAGTCACATTCAGTGAGGAGAGCCACTACAGCATGAGTTCTATTCCTGGCTGGCCAGGAAGCTACTCACATGGCGCAGTAGACCTCTCCTATCTTGCCCTCTGCTCCCCTCAGCAGTGTATTTCAGTCTTCCTGTTCTGTTCCCCACTCTTTTTCTGGTGAATCCTCTCACACACACCCCCACCTCCTCACCTCTGGCCTGTACCCCAGTTCTTGTATGTATAAATAAATAAATCTTGGGCCTCCCCGGTGGCGCAGCCATTGAGCGCTGGGCTGCGAAGCTGCGCGCGGCCTCTGCAGCACCAGTTCGATCCCCGGCTGCTCCCCGGCCACCGGAAGAGGGTCCCACATGGTGCGCAGACCTCTCCTGCCGCCCGCTGCTCCCCTCAGCAGTGTACTTCGGTCCTTCTGCCTGCTCTGCTCCCCACTCTGGCTCTGGTGAATTCTCTCACCCTCCGGCGCTTCTGACTGTGCCCAGTGCTTGTATAAATAAATAAATCTTTAAAAAAAAAAAAAACTAATTTAAAAAAAAAATAAATAAAAAATAAATAAATCTTTAAAAAAAGAAAGAAAACATAATGTAAATTTCATTCATTGATTATGAAAGGGAGAAGAGGGCCTCCCTGGTGGTATAAGGGGTTAAGTCTCAGCACTATGAAGCTATCAGCAGCCCTGGCCTGGAGGCGACCCACATAATGCAGCAGACCTCTCCTGTCTTGCCCACTGCTCCTCTCAGCAGTTTATTTCAGTAGATCTGCCTGTTCTGCTCCCCACTATATCTCTGGTGAATCCTCTAACCCCCTGCACCTCTGGCCTACACCCAAGCTCTTGTATGCATAAATAAATAAATCTTTTAAAAAAATAGAAAGGGGGCCTCCCTGGTGTCTCAGGGGGCTGAGCGCAGCGCTGTGAAGCTGTCCGCAGCCTCTGCAGCGCAGGTTCGATCCGGCCAGGCAGCGAGAATCCCACATGGTGGCAGATCTCTCCAATCTCTCCTGCTGCTCCCCTCAGCAGTGTATTTCAGTCCTTCTGCCTATTCTGCTCCCTGCTCTGTCTCTGGGGAATCCTCTCACCCTCCTGCATCTCTGGCCTGTACCCCAGCCCTTGTATAAATAAAATTAAAAAATAAATATAAAAATAGGGAGCAGAGCACGTTCATGCTCTAGAAGAGACAAAGAAGTCTCTCACAGGGAAGCAAACAGAGGACTCAAAAAGGGCTGGGAGAAGGGGCAGGGCATGCAAGGCTCATCTGGCAATCTTGGTCATTTCACACATTTCTTTGATTTAGTTAGATTTAGTTTCAAGAAGTCTTGGGACCCATTCTTTTCTTTGACACTCTGAGAACCATTTTTTCATTTTGTTAAAGGTTAACTTGAAAAACAAGCCCAAGAAGCGCTGTTATTATCTAGAAGTGGAACATATGGCGGCCTGACCTGGTGACCGTGACTTACACAATTCATTATGACCCAGCACATTCCTTCCTGAGTACCAAGAATTTGTCAAACTCTAAGTTTCAATATACTTTAGAAAAATACCTTTCAATGTGTTTGGGGAAAGTTGTGTTTAGCGGCGTGGTGACATAAGTTTGGATGGGCTCCTAAGCCTTGGATTCACAAGACCCAGGCCAGGGCCTCTCCACCAGGAGAAAGCAAAATAACGCTGCCTGGATGCAGGAGAGCTCGGTGTGCGAAGAACCCTGACAGAGGTGGAGTGGGGAAGTTATTTTGAGCAGAAAGTAAAGAATAAGCAGAGGACGCACTGCACGTGGGTCCGACACCAAAAGAGCAGTACTTTTTTTTTTTTAAGATTTATTTTATTTATTTATACAAGCACTGGGTACAGTCAGAAGCGCGGGAGGGTGAGAGAATTCACCGGAGCCAGAGCGGGGAGCAGAGCAGGCAGAAGGACCGAAGTACACTGCTGAGGGGAGCAGCGGGCGGCAGGAGAGGTCTGCGCGCCATGTGGGACCCTCGCCCGGCGGCCGGGGATGAACCGGCGCTGCAAAGGCTGCGGGCAGCTTCGCAACCGAGCGCTCAACCGCTGCACCACCGGGGAGGCCCAAAGGGGTTAAGATGCTCACGACGAAAAGCAAGAGATACATCTCTAAGTAAATATGGACGCGACGGCGCCCCGTCTAGAAACAAGATGCTACTTCCGCCCCAAACAAATATGGGAAGGCGAAGGAATGGGAGGGAGTGTGCACCCGGAAGGAAGCCAAATGAAAGCACTTCCGCCCTCCCTGAACATGGCGCCGGCGGAAGGAGCGGTGTGTTGCCGGGCGGTGATGACAGCGTCGAGACTGGAGCTGAACCTGGTCCGACTGCTGTGCCGCTGCGAGGCTATGGCAGCCCAGAAGCGGGACCCAGACGAATGGCGTCTAGAGAAGGTAAGGTGATCCCGCGCTGTCGCGTAGAGTTCGAGTCTCGGGAGACAATGATCTGAATGTACAATCATCAGGCCCTGCTCCCTCGTCCCACCTTCCACTTTCGCCACGCCCTTTCCTGTTAGCTCCCCCACGTCCACCTGCAGCTCCGCCCCGCCCCTGGGGCCCCGCCCCGCCCTGCGAGTTCCGCCTACTTGGCGCTTGGCTCCTCACGGTTTCCAGCCCCGCCCTTCATAGGCTTCGACCCCGCCCCTCATAGGCTCTGACCTCTTTGAGCAGGAAAGAGTGAGGGAGGGCCCAGCTAACACCCCACTTTCCCTCCCCAGTATGTGGGGGCCCTCGAGGACATGCTGCAGGCCCTGAAAGCCCAGGCCAGGTGAGTACTGGCACCCGCAGAGGGTTCAAATCCGGGTTGAAAAGCAGTGGGACAAGTTCTGTTAGAGGATGCCCTGGGCGCCAGTCCCTGCTGGGATCCTTGCCTGAACTGGAAACAGGTGTTCTTTTTCCTTTTCTCACTTTGCAGTAAACCAGCCTCAGAGGTGATCAATGAATATTCCCGCAAGGTGGATTTTCTGAAGGGGATGCTGCAGGCAGAGAAGCTGGTGAGCAGGGGCACCCTTAACACTCTCACCTGGATGGAGAAAACTGCTTCTGGTGACCTTTCTTTCTTCTGCAGACCACCTCTTCAGAGAAGGCATTAGCCAACCAGTTCTTGGCCCCTGGACGCATGCCAACTACAGCCAGGGAGCGGGTGCCTGCCACCAAGACGGTACATCTGCAGTCACGGGCACGGTACACCAGCGAAATGCGGAGTGAGCTGCTAGGCACGGTAGGGCCCCCTTCCTGGTCCCTGAGAGCCCTTCTGTCAGGAACAGGAGTTCAGTGCCTGGGGCAACCAGAACAACAAATAGTCAGGTGCATGGGCCCTAGGAGCCTCAATAGCTTCTGCTCTGGGCCATCAGACAAGGCTTCCCAACAGAGGGACATTGTGACCAAGGTTCTGCTAGATAAATAGGAGTTTGTTTCAAGGCAAAAATGTCACATGTTTGATTAAACTCCAAAGTTGGCCCACAGCAAGGTTTGGCTCCTGCCTAGCCACAGTGTTTGGGTGGTTTATTTGTTTTTGTTTCTTTCAATCTGTAAAACAGGATGACAAGTGCCTTTCTAAACCCTTTGAAAGATGAACTGTTGTTACCAGTTATTGGTTTCTTTTAAAGATTTATTTTTATTTATGCATACAAGAACTGGGGTGCGGGCCAGAGGTGTGGGGGGGTGAGAGGATTCACCAGAGACAGAGTGGGGAACAGAATCGGCAGATTGACTGAAATACACTGCTGAGGGGAGCAGCGGGCTAGTCAGAAAGGTCTGCCCCGCTATGTGAGTCACCTCCCTGAGTGGGGATCAAACTCATGCTGCAGTGGCTGCAGATAGCTTCATTGTGCTGTGTCTTAACTCCTTGAGCCGCCAGAGAGGCCCTGTTGTTACCAGTTTACAGATGAGGAAACTGAAGTTCAGAAGTCATGTATGGGGCCTCCCTGGTGGTGCAGGGGTTAAGCACAGCACTGAAGCTATCCACAGCCTCTGCAGTATGAGTTTGATCCCAGGCCAGCCAGGGAGCTACCCACATGGTGCAGCAGACCGCTCATGCTTCGCCCGCTGTTCCCCTCAGCAGTGTATTTCAGTCAGTCTGCCTGTTCTGCTCCCTACTCTGTCTCTGGTGAATCCTCTCACACACCCCTATTCCCCGCACCTCTGACCTATACCCTAGTTCTTGCATGCAAAAATAAATAAATCTTAAAAAAAAAAAAAAAGAAGAAGAAGAAGTCATTTATGGGAATTGCTCAGGGCCCTGACTCTGGATCGGTGGGGAGTTTCTGAAGATAAAAAGGACAGATTTGGGGCCATGACAATGGTGGGTGGCTTCATGCCTGTCCCTTTTTCCCCACAGGACTCTGAAAGAGGTGAGTTACCCTGAGTAGAATAGGACTCAAGGCCCATCTGCCTGGGACAAGACCTGTATCCTTGCTACCCCACATCTTTCATGCTTCACCTGGCTCCCATAGGGGTCTTCTGCAGCACAAGGAGAGTGTTCCTGGGAGCATCACCAAGTTATACCTGGGGGTGTGGTGAGG